ACATGCGAAATGATCAGGAAATCGGTTTGAGATGACACATGAGCTGAAAGTGACATATGTGAAGTCCAAAACAACATTTGCTGTGTGCGGCCTGACTCCATCCTGCATGAATAACTAAGTTTGTAATGGCAAACCTGTAGCAAGAAGTACAAAAGTACAATGCAACATGTTTACAGTAAACAGCGCTAACTGTTCACTTTCTCTTCAATAACAATTGGACCTAGCAGTCCATGACTTGAGATGGCAACCCACACTTTAAATCTCCATGCATGGTGCACCTTCTCACGAATCACACATATTCTCTGACGCCTAAAATCGAATACTTTGCTTATTAACCACACCGCCCAAGTGGAAGTGCACCTCATCAGAAAACCAAACACTGCTGAACAACACCTAATTATTCTGAGCCCATTCAGCAAACGTCAATCTTTGATGTTTGTTTTGAACTGTATGTTTAGGCAACAGTCATCATTCTCTATGGACAGAAATTCAAATTACTTTTCAATATTCATTGCACCCAACCTCTGAATATCTCTAGTTGTGCTGCAGTCTTCCTTGTTGATTTACTGGGGCTCCTTCGCAGCGTTACTCTGACAGTGTCAATGTCCTCTGAAGAACGTACAGATGAAGGCTGGTGATGTTTCCTCCCCAATACTGAACCATCATTATTAAACTGGTTATAAAGTTTATTAATTGTTTTGAATGAAGGCGCCCATCATGTTTGAAAATGGGCATGAAACTGCCTGTGTGACCACAACACTTCTTGTTTCAGTAAAGAACAACACTGGTGTTATGCATTGTTCTCCAGACAGTTTTTCTTTGTCAGCCATCTTGTGTAAACTGGGGCATGAGCAGGAACAGTGCAACAGTAGTGTGCTCGGGAAGAGTAAGAACTAATCTCCATGGTCTACTGTGTTACCATGTTACAAAACACTGTTCACTGCATGGGTGAATAATTAATACTAAATCAAATACTGGATCATTTCGTGTGCCACATATGGAAAAGAAATCCACCTCAACCCCTTTCCTCCCTGTTCACTCTAAGCAACACAAATGGGCAAGACATCATCACAGGAGCAACAAAACTAAAACCCAACAAGTAATTATATAGACAAACACAGTTAAGTACCTACAACTCCAATTTATATTAACATCACAAAATCTCCGTTTCTGGAAACAGTAAAATCTAATATCACCACACTACCACTAATGATCAGCAATAACAAAGGCAGAACCAAGGAACCTAACATAGAATATAAAGTAAGTACACAAAAACATAGAAATCACAGTAACAAAATATGTATTTACCATTCTCTTACACTGTATTTCTAATTTACAGTTAAAACTGCATATGCAAGATAACATGTGCCACTGACAACAACAAAGTCATAATCACCTAGTCCTACAGAACATCAGAATGTAGTAAGTAAACCGCAGAAACGACCACAGACAATAAGACATCCACAAAATCCATGTCACCACAAAAAAGCATTCCATCAGTCAGTCACAGTTTATCCCCCCACCCAATTCCACATGTAATTACCCCCACATTATAAATATATGAAAACCCTTAAAAACTAGGAAATAATAGTTATTTCAAGAATTTTACCAATTGACAATAAATACTGTGGCATATAGACCCAGTGTTAAGTGGTGACTCTGTAAACAGCGACAACTGCTATACAACAGCTCTGTAAACACATTCCCATTGCCAGGCAGCAGATTCTTAATAATGAAACAGTTGTACAACAGTGGAAAGGGGGTGTTTCTACATGGTCCATACCAAGGGACAAAGTCAGTTGAGAGTGAAATTTGTGTGGGAGGGTGTGAAGAGAGGACCTGAGCATGTGAAGCTGAAGAATCTACAATGTTAGAAGCTGTTGCTAGGGAACAGCTGGTGAAGACACAGCAGGCTGGAAAAGACTTAATGGGTGCTGTGGTGATTTGTGAATTGTGGATATAAGTGATGGCTCTATAAATGCTTACAGTTCCAAGTTCCGTATACAAGTGGTCAATAAATCTATTCACCAATCCAAATCCCATCTATAGTCACCCCTACATGTAACAACATTTTAGTTATATTTGTATTTATGTATATAAAATGCTGAGGACTTACATGTATATATATATATATATATACTTATATGTACTCGTATTGTTTCTACTTATATGACAAGACTAACAACAACGGATCCATTGCGTAAGCAGTTTAGTAGTGAATAATGATACAATTTATTATCTTGAAAACAACTGATGATGGATGCAAGGCTGAAACATGTAGTGTGATAACATATCAATAAAACATTAGTACTGAAAAACAAAAATGTTGTGACTGAAAGGTATACTGTATATTAGTGTTACACACAACAGGAGACATAACTTACAGATAAAAATAGTTACATGTTTATACTGCCAGCTCTTAATCTAGTAAATATAAAAACGTGACTTCCCTGCTTCCTGCTGGCCCCTAGCTTTCAGAGTCCTTGCTCTCACTAACTCTGATCCAGATTAACATTGTAAAAATGCGTACAGCAGTAGTGGGCTGGCTGTCCACTAATGATCTAGGGCTGTTTTACCCAGCTGTAGTTGATTTTTAAGTCATAAAATGTTATTCCAAAAAGGAATTTTTGTTTCCTTCTTTCCACCATGGACCTAACAGATGACAAACACCTAGCAATGTTATTAAATTTGGTTTGTTCTTTTGCAAATAAGTACTGCACAGGTAATTTCTGGAAGTAATCTGAATCCCCATTCTGTACTCAATTTTATTATACAAGTATAATTTAATTTCTTAATTTGAGTTTTCAGTTCTTTTTCAAAGCCTTTCACTATTACATATTATAATAATAACACGAAAATGAACCATATCATAGGAAATGAATTACTACATTGTGTGGTGAACAATGAACTTCTGCTCATTGTCTACACATCTTCAGTCTTCCTCACAAAACCTATATAGAGCTACTTGTTACACGGCAGTTAGAAAAATACCATTTAATTTCAATGCAATCAATTAATTTAGACAAATTTCAACTAACAGTACTTGCATTGCCAGGCAATCTAGTGAAGTGGGGAGAAGGATAAGTAGAGTGCTGTGTGTGTGGTGGAGGGGGGATGTAAGCGAAGAAGGGAAAATTTGGCCTAGCCATTCAAATCTCTTCTGCCCATCTACTCTTGACATGACAAGACAGAGACTGTGAAGCAACTAAAGATATTTTTAAGGAAGTCAAGCCACTAGATCCACCAGATACCCACAGTGAAATTTTACCACTGACTTCAGGGGCTACAAATGCAAAAATTCAATATTTCCGATTTCTTCAATCAATTCAATCCCCTTTTGCACCATCGAAATTACTTGCTTTATTGTCATCTTCAACCATACCCTCATACAACTCGATGACTCATCCAAAAGATCACCAGCTCATCCACTCAGCAAGTCATCTACAGTGATATCAGTGACTGTTAATTTTTCTTCCTTCTGTATTATTAATATAAATTCTATCCACAATTTAATATCTATTTAATACATTTTGAAATACATCTTAATACTTTTCTTAATATTCAAGAGAGAGAGAGAGAATGTGTGACTGTTTCGAACAGTTTGGCAAGTGTGCACATTTTCTCCATATTTCAACAATATAATGTCACCCCATTTCTTAGCAGTGCCTGGTTTTCTTTTTTCAAAGTAAAAAACACAATTTATACATACTGAAATGACATAAATATTATTAAAATAGAAAAAGGATGTATTATTCTGCACAATATATTGAGTTCAAGTAACAGCAAGAATATTCTGATACTTTCTGTAAGAGATTTCAAGCATTTCCACCACTTCATATAAAGTAAAAATAACAGGCCGTGGAGGCCCATAGGGTTGAGATGTTGAGGTCCCCACATTTTCTAGACAATCGGCTCCTAGATGGCAGCAAGGTTGTCAGCCCTATGCCCTGGCCGCCCTTTTCCCCCCAAGAATATTCCTGGTACTCATTTCTGTTAGAGGCTGAGTCGACCCCAGGGCCATCAATTCATATGGGGAAATTAATTCAATTTATGCAATTTCATCTTCAGCAACATATTGTTTGGACAAAAATTGACATTAATCAAGGAGTATTTGCATCTGTAATCTGAGAAGCTGTGAAACATCAGGCATATGGTTCTCTCATGAGGCAAACTGCTCATAAACAAGAAACAAGAAAAACAAAATTATTAAGTCCTCTTACTGCTCAAAACAAACATCAAAGATCTGTCAAAAGGGTAAGTATCAATGAACAATTCCAACATGAAAATCTCTTCAATTGACGAGAAAAACTTGTAGCTCCATCAAAAGAACTATTTTTGTAATTCATGCATTACAAAAACAGTACAATGACAAAAATCTAAAATCTACTATCAAATTTGCCAGGACAAAGATAATAATTTCTCCAATTCTGAGATCTTCAATACTCCTTGGCTTATCTTAATCTTGTAATCTTGAAAGTTACAATGCCACAAAGAATATTTTATTACACAGGATGAAATCGAGACAAGTATACCAATAAATGTGATATAAACAAAGTGATAAGAAAAGCATCTAAACATGTAATGGAAGTTAAAAACTGTATTCCTGATACACTTAGTACAATGAGCTGGACATGTAGCTTGTACACGACAAACCAAAACTCAACCACAACTCTGACAAAGAAACATCTTGGAAAGCAGCCATTATAAAGGGAAAAAGGTGTAAGATAATACTACTATAATGTAGGGTATTAGAACATATTCTGATATAATGGACAGGATCTGACTAGCTCAGACAATGCACTGGACCTTCAGGTTCTACTGCCAGACACTCAGTTACTGACACTGAGCTCTTCTGCTATGCTGCATACATCCCTTCATGAACTGATGGGCACATTTCTCTAATCTGCATTATTTCAAAAACATGAAAATTAGGTGAACAAAACTAAGATGTGTGAAGCTATATTACAATCTGACAAGACTTTCTCATGGACTGTACTCACCGTGCTTCTTTGGCAGGTCCACTGTGAACTTGTGTAGCACCTCCCGGGTGTTGCCCTGCAGTGTGCCGAAAAGAGCCCCATTCCCATCCATCACGATGAACCCAAACTTGTTGTCATCTGCTAACAGTGCTGTCAAGGCCTCTGTGTGAAACTGCAACATGATTCATACAACAAAAATTAAATGTACACAGAACATATGATGCAAGCAGCTGCACACATCTTGAAAAAAAGATAAACTTATAATATTCATAAGGAACAAAAATTCACAGGTTATAAACCAAAATATTCAACAAGAGTAAAAGACTGTGAAGAAAGCAGTCTTCTGGGATTTGGCACCGTGTATATGTGGTGTTAACCGACGTTTCGGAGGAACGTATCGCCTCCATCTATCGCCATCTCTTTGCTTGCAGATTCTTATATATTTTTTTCTTCTACCCTGAAGATGGAGGCGATACGTTCCTCCGAAACGTCGGTTAACACCACATATACACGGTGCCAAATCCCAGAAGACTGCTTTCTTCATAGTCACCGCCGTGAAAGCCTCAAATCTTACATACAAGATTAAAAGACTGTTGCAGATAATAAGACGACAAAAGATGCTCTCCAATAACATCAGGCTACCACATATTTTACAGTAATGCAACTGACAATACTTATGTTTATAATAATGTGAGGCACTATAAAAAGGTAGGCAAAGTATGGGTTACACTGGGAAATGTAACACTTACTGCAATTCAACATGAGCACTGGAATCAGTGGTATCCATTACAGTTGCATTATTTATAATTAATTTCTCAAGAACTTATTATTAACTAAACTGATATGTGATAGTTTTAATTACACAACATTAACATGAAACCTGACAGCACTTCTTTTTCATGTCACAAATGTCAATTCTGACATTAAAGAAGGCAGTTACAAGTTCACTATCCTAATTTATGTCAGCAATTCTGCCCTTGCTTCTGAATTCCTTTTGTCCTCAGTCTACAACTTAAATGGTAACTGGATGTACGAAAGCATTATAATCACTCCATAAAAATCATTACACACATGACCGCCTGCATTTAACAAAATTTAGCAATTTACAACCTCTCACAGACGAGAGTTAAGATGACATTCTTAGACTGTAATGTAATAAACTTTATTCATTCGCATCTGAAGTTCTTAAAAACTGTCATTTCACTGGGAGAGACAATTTCTGTAGTGGTTAAAATCTGTCTCTAGGGGAAGCACGATGCTCAGATTAGTTGCATTTTAAATGATACTGAACTCCCACTGAGAGGTATTACACTGTGTTCAGAGAAAATAAGTTTTCAATGTCATCTGATCTGACTTTTGGTCTTCAATTTCCCAAAATACCTTTCAATTCTTTTAAAATATATATTTTGCATAATATTATGTTCTAATGAACAGCCGAATTTCAAGCCTAGACTGCCATGGGATCAGATGGTATAAAATCATACATCGACGCATGTAGTACGAATGAAGTATCTGTCAGGATGTGTGGTGATCCAGCCGAGACTCAAACCAAGCACCTATCAAATTCTACAGTGTTGCCTCAAAACAAACATTTTCAGTAAGACAGCATATGATTCAGTTAGCAGAGGAGTGTTCTAAAATATTCTCATTAAATTCAGTATTCCCATGAAACTAGTTGGGCTAATTAAAATGTGATTAAACAACAGTCCGTAGCAAGATGCCTCACAAGTATTGCTTTAGAAGACAGAGTGTTCCAAGAGGGTCTGTAACTGAATGGAATACATCAAATTTTTGTCCCTGCTGATGACCTTCACCCCCTTAGCCTAAAGCTAAAACTAAACAATATTTAATAATTCAATCACTTTACAAAATGCACTGCACCTCCATCACAAAAGACCAATTAGTTTACGAGAAAAACTGCTCTGTATTTTGGGTATCATACTGTGATGTACTGCCCTATGGAGGACATCCCCTCCTCCGCCAGTGATGACGTAACAACATCAGGCTCTGTCGCTACTACGGTAACAGCCCAGTCAACACTCTGCCCCCCCTCCCCCACGGTGATGTAGTCGGGGATGCCGCGGTTGCTATGCAGCAGCAAACAACTCTAGACAACGTTGCCCAGCAACACCTGTAAACTTGGTGACTAGGCAACAAGGAAGCGAGGCATTTTCCCGTCGTCCAGCTGAGGGTTTATAAGAGAACTACACTGTCTAACGATTTACATTCACGATGCCTCTTTTTTTGGCTATTTCAAACATTTCCATGATTACTGTCATCGGCCCATACTAATGGTGTTTATTTAGTATGTGTTGGGCAAATGCTGATTCGTCCTTGTTTAATCTTATGTTTCTTATGTGGTCTTTGTATCTTGTTAGATTTCTACCAGTTTGGCTGATGTATACTTTTTGACAACTTTGGCATGTTATTTCCTATATCCCACTTTGTTTGTAGGGGTTTATTTCTCGTTTTTCATTTATTAGTTTACCTATTGTGTTGGCTATTTTGAAGGCTATCTTTATGTTAGTGTTTTTGAATAGTTTTATGATTTTTTGTATGTAATTTCCTGTATAAGTAGAAGTGACCCATTTTGTTCTTTTTCGTCTTTATTATCCGGTGTAGCCGTCCGCCGACGTACAGTTGCCACGACTGTCGCTCGAGCTTGAGTTCTTTCTCTCAGGGATACGGGTGCTTTGGAGAAGGGAGTGGAACACACTTCGGGGTAAATAAATCCGGGATCTCCAGAACACACCGTGGATGGCAGTTTTAATTTAAAATTTCATTAATGCTGAATATGTACATTATTCTCCAAGCTAGCCGCTCCGTCCACCAACTAGCTACCACTACTCTTAAACACTTCTCTCCTCTCTATCTATCTTCCAACTACTGTCCTCCTCCGCTCCCTATAACCGACCCCCATCTTTACAAGTCCCCCCGTTGGCATCAGAAAAACAAGAAAATAACAAGAGAAAACCAAGGGTCGAGCCCAACATCTGGCCTACATTCGTATTTTTCGAGACGCCCATAAACCTCTGTCGGTCTTCAAGAAATCCAAGACCCCTCCTGGCTGGTCTCGCACGCGGTCAGTTCATGGGTTTATGATATACTGGGAGTAAGCAGGTGGCGTTAGGGACAATAGCGGCACCCTTAGCCTAAGGAGGACAATAGCGGAATTACAACTAGACGGTCCCGGGATGGTATCACGCCGATGGAGCGTCTCTCACGGTATTAAACAATGCCTAAGTAGTTCTACCCTTAATTATATAATTTTGACGAAGGAAGTATGGTTACACCGGGTTACCCATCTTTCGCTTAAGTTTGTTATATAGGTGTGTGATGTCTTCCTTTCTATAGCCATTATTTAGTGTTATATTAATAATAATATTTAATTCTTTGTTTTTAGCATTTTCCTTAAGGGGTAGTGTAAGAAGTATGTGTATCCAATTTTTATATGCTGGCAATTTTTGTTCTTTAGGGTGGCACGATTTATTATTTATTGTTATGCATGTCGTCGTGGGTTTTCTGTATATTTCTATTTGTCCGTGTCTATTAAATATATTTAAATCCAGGTACGCTAAATTTTTTAAACACTTTAAAAGTTTTAATACTAGGAAGGCTGCTGTGATTGTGAAAAGTTGAATATTGTGTACATTGTGTATTCAAGGCATTATGTGCGTATGTAATTTAGCAATCAGAACACCTATTGTGATGGTGGTTTCCCAATAAGTATTGATGTTCCCTCTGAAGATGATCCGTAAGTGTGTGTGTCTCTCTCTCTTTCTCTATCTCTCTCTCTCTCAAGTCTCAGTTCTGAGACAGTAAATATGGTCGCGAGTCCCAAGGGACTCAGACCCGAGAAAGACTGCGCTGGCAAGAGCCAGCAGCATTTACAAAAGACAGACCCGTCCCCTCGTCAAGGAAGGCGCCCCACAGAAACAAGATCGTAACTGTCAAACAATAATAATTAGTATCTGGTCATGAGCCCCATTTTGACTGACTGACCGTCAGTAGCAATGTAACTGAATCTGACTAAAGAGTTAGTTGAAATATAGCAGCAGTCGCGGGAAGAAGACCCGAACGCGCGGTTAGAAGATTTGATGTAATAATTTGTGATACTGCCGATGGCAGTAATATTGAGATTGTAAACTGTGATTGTAAGAGCGGATGTGCAATAAATTCGCTATATCCCATATGGCGTAAAGTTACTTGTCGCATGACCTGCCCAACACATGACAATACAAAACTCATAAATACAGTATACAGGCAAAGCACAGGGCTCCTGAGTGTTAAAAACAGGTGGTGTATACAGCAACTACAGAGCATTAAAGGATTCATTTGCTGGGAAACATAAATGTCATAAACAAATGCAAAGCTTTATTAGATGCTGGCAAAAAGATTGGCGTTCCCTCAAAACCTTGAAAAGATGGCAAAGTTCAGATACTGAAACAAATCAAAACTGCATTCACAGATAAATTAAAAGGAGATCAAATTCAAGCAATGCTTGCAACCATTCAGTTCAGGTCAAAACATGTGAAATTATAACTGCATCTGTTGCTCTGTATGAGTGTGAAATCTGGCCTCTTGCAATAAACGAAGATGACAGATTAATGGTGTTTTCATAACAGGGGAAACAGGAGAATATTTGGACTCATTAGTAGAGGGAGGATGCAGAAAGTTGCACAATGAGGAGCTTCACAATTTTTACTCTTCACCAAATATAGTCAGAATCCTTTCAAGAGGGTATTCAAGGGTGCAAACCTTGGCCAAGCACTTCCACACTTTTCAACTGCAACCAACTGGCAACTCTGGACAAGGAACTACATAGTATGTTGGTGATAGACCAAAAGATGAAGGACTGTATGCAGCCTGATGGATTTCAACACATAACAACAGAGCGACAGATGCCAAACACAACTGCAGTAATGCAGCACTTTATGAAGGAGAAAATGTCTACATGTAGGAAAAGCAAACTCCCACTCGGATTCTGTATTTACCCAAATCTGGAAACAGCAGAATATACCACATTCCAACAGTCAATGAGGCTAACGAATATGAGTGTCATGGTTTAATTCTTTGAGCAAATGTGTATGAAGAATAAAGAACTGTCTTATTTCTGGTATGAAATTTCAACTCATTATTTCACATACTAAAGATACACATCTCTAGCCTATGACATACATACTGAAACATGATTGACATTGCACTTGTGATGGAGATACTTCCTGCAACTTCTTCCTTGCACACACAGGAGCACATATATTACAATGCCGTATCATGACACCCACCTTATTGTCACATAGGTATAAAGATGTGTTGATAGGTTTGAAAGGTTCAAAGTCGATGTTGACCTTCTTCTCCTTTCCCTCATCTGTCACAATTGTTCCACAATAAATTACTAGTCCATTTGGGGGCACTGAAAGAGGAACACATTCATTACAATATGGAAGAATGATAAATTACATTGGCATTCTGTTCAAAATATAACACATACTTGATTTGCATCATTTGCAATTAGCAGAGATCTCTACTTATTTCCAGCTTAATTTCCTTTGAGTTTTACGTCTTACTTATACAATTCAAAGTACAATATATATATATATGTGGGCTAAGCACTTAACGTGAAAAGAAGTAACTCAACTTTTCACAAAATCCCTACAACCATGGAATCCACTGGTTCAGATTCACTTGGTATCAGAAGATAAGGGGGCACACAGTAGAGCGGTTGCTTGAGGCACCATGCTACAAGCCAGAAAGTCGTGGATTCAATTCTCAACATCACTGAATTTTTCAATTGACCTAATCCTTCGGCCGCACTACGGACCTGGGATCGACTCAGCCTCTAACAGAAATGAGTACAAGGAATCTTCCTGAGGGTAAAGGGCAGCTGGCGCATAAGGCTGACAACCTCACAGCCACCTGTGAACCGATTCTCTAGAAAATCGTTCCTTTAAACTACTTCAATGCCATATGTGTACACATGTATAACAACTCCTTAAACAGAATCGCCTACTGCTCAATCATGGCCAGCATGTCATTGCACTGATCATGATAATTTTCACCTACGTGGTTCAGCTCTACACTCCAGAGATCCAGCTGTATATAACGATGTGCTGCAAAATAACTGGTGAATTACACACAAAGAAGGCTGTGCAGCTCTTATCAATTTGCATCATTCTTCAAACGGATGGCAGTGAGGATTGGCAAAAGTAAAGGAAAATTTGTGTTTGGTGGGTCCTGAAGGAATGTCCAAGCAAGATACAGGGCTATTTCATTGGAGTGGTACAACCTGAAAAATTTAGAATAGATGTACAAATAACTACGACAAAAAACCATCAGTCAACTGGCATAACATCAGAGATGTCAGCTGGGATTGCAACAGTGGACAAACAGGGAGATTCTGGAAGCTTCCGGAGATCACGTCAGATTTTGTTTAAAGATAGTATGGTGATGGTGTCACTGATAATTGGCAACTGAATTAGCCCTTGAAGTAGTATCTGAATTGAAACAATGGATCAGCAGTGTTACTGGTTTAGTGAGGTGTTTTCAAATTGCTTATTTAAAATTTTGCACCAACTTTAACTCAAATGCCAAGCTTTTCTCCATATTTCACTGAACATGAGATGTTATTCCATTCTCAGTAACTTTTTGGATGTAGAAATGTTTGGATTCATCTGATTCAACTAACAATGATATACTTAAGGTATGGGATCTATCTTTGCAATAAGTTACATTAACACAACTGATGGGAAACTAACACTTATGCTCTAAGAACTATAAAAAGAACTGCTGAAGTTCAACCTGATGCTTCTTGACTATGAGATCTGTTCAAAATATTCCCAGAATGATCAAGTGGACCACCACCAATCATACACATGCTGCTGCATGTGGAATGGTTGTTGTGACTACAATGTATGCACAACAGTTTGTTTCAAATAGTTCAGGTGACACGTTGTAGTGTTATAACCAGTTGTGTGAGTGTGGTTGTGGTTCTGTCATGCTGCGAAATGGCATCTGTAGAAGACAAAATAACTTGCATAATTGTGAGACTTCAGGATGGATGACCTTCAACTTTGATAACCGATTCTCTGGCTGGCCAAGTGAAAGACACCTGTACAAATTATTGACAAACTGTACAGGAACTAGCAGAAGAAGCAGGAATATCCACTTGTTCATGCCATACAATTTTAAGAGAAAATTTTGTGATGCACTGGGTCTCAGCAAAATTCTTGCTAGGGCTCTTGACTGAAGATCAGAGAATTCAGTAATGAACTAACAACACAAATGTTTTGAGAAGTGATATCATCAGAAATAAAACTTTGTCATGTGTATATTATAGCAAAACAAAAGACAGCCATTGCTATGGAAGAGTTGTGATTCACTGCATCCCAAAAAAAGGACAAGTATACTTGCAAATGAAGACATTATCATGGCATTCTTTATCATGAGTTCATTACAGTGGGCTAGAAAACCAATCAAGCTTATGATCTGGAAGTTCTGAGGCAAGTGAGGGATGCAGTATGAAGAAAACCACCAAAAATGTGGACTGCAAGAACATGGCACATCCATCATGACAATGCAGCAGGTCACAAAGCATTAATGATTTGAGATTTTTTTGGCAAGGCATCCAATTTCTATCCTTCCTCAACTTCCCTATTCACATCATCCATCCCCTATCCATCCCCTCCAGACATTTTTTCTATTTTCTAAAATAAAAGAGACCCTGAAGGGTAGCTTTCAAACACAGACATCATCATTACAAATATGACAGATGAAGTGAGAACAATTCAACAAAAATCCTTTGAGCAGACCTTCCAAAAATTAAAATGAAAACTGTTCCTACAGATATTAAATTGAACCTAATGCTCCTACTGTCTGGAAGTGTACAGTTTATGGTTTATTAGCATCCTAAGCTTAACGTTGTTCTCACTCTGTACATACGCATTAGGCGACCATTTGGGCAGAAGCAGAAGCAGAACCACAACCACCTCCACCACCACCAGTGTGTTTCATGTAAATATTTCTACACTCACCAATGGTCTCAGTTACCCCAACCTTGGTGAATGGGTAACCACATTTATGGGGCTGTATGAGTACAAGTCGGTATATACAATGTTCATCAAATTTACAGGACTTCTTGAGCTTAGAAACTTTATTACAAAAAATGGCCTCAGTTGTGGGCTGTAGGTGCCAGGTACATGACCTACCAGCCAATTTATTTTATCTGTTAACCCTCCATACTGGCCATAAATCTGTCAAACTTCACAACTTTGGAAGTTTTATTATTAGTATATAATACCATCTCTTACCTTCAGGATTCAACACCTAAGCACTATAGTCTAATTTACAGCTATGTGCTTGTGGCAACCACAATCCAACCTTTCCCAAACATCAATATTCACACCTTTGCATATAAATATGTACATATATAGTCATACCCCTCCAAAGTAGCACTACTGTTGGCCACTTTACAAATAGATATTTATGTTACATGACTAGCATAAGCAGCACCTGTTACAGTTTGGTCTTGCCTTGTACTTGCTCCATGTTAAAATTAGCAACCTGTGTACACAGCAGATGCCTACCCTTGGTATAAAGTTTCAATCTATGTTGTACAGACGTAATTGCACCTAGTACTGAGAGCCTGTTCACTCGAGACTTGATGTTTGATGCTGTTCCAAACTCGTCTGCCAGCATTTTGCTCACCCGAGAGATCTGGTCCTTCGGTGGAATGATCAGGGAAATCATGCTTGTACCATTCCTACGATAAAAGGTCAAGAGGTATATTGAACGCATAAAATTAGCTAACATGCAACAGTTAAGGCAGGAAAAAACAGCTCTACTTAATTGCGTGAATCTCTCTGCATGAAGTGAACTTAAAAACAAATCTGGTTACAATATGGTAGCCATTATTTTATAAACACCCGAAATTCCAAGGTAACGGCACATCACAACTTATAACACATTCCTACTGCACTTACGCCTGCGAATGATGTCACTAAATTCACCATTTCAATATCCAAACCGCACATGTTCCCTTACCCTCTTGCCATTTCCAAGCTCTTGATAAGCTTTTTGATTTTCCAGATCTCAACATTTCGGTCGGACGAACTTTCTTCCGAATTATTGTACGAAGAAGACATCTTAAACTAACTGTCCTATTTTCTTCGGGAAATACACCCCAACAATATTTTGGGGTAAATTCCAAAGGATCTAAGTCCAATCGTGGCAAAATGGCGCAGATGAAAACCCCTCCTGTCCTGCGGGGGCCACTCAATCCACTATGTCCAACAGGTTCAGCGATTTACAAATGAAATCCGGAAATTTCCGGATTGTACGATACGTGCAAGAGGTTTTACACAGGTCTGGTTACATCTGTAACACAAGTATTAGCGCTTTTACGAGCACAATCACAACGTATTCAAAACTTTCTTCTACCCACGTACTAACAAACCATGTGCCATGTGCACTGCCAAAAATGTTTCGAAACTTCTTTACGGACGTCACCTACACTCACCCCGTTGCAACGTCAGTATCGTCAGTATAGAATGTAGGCCTCAGGTTCCGGAAACCGTAGAAACTACGTTTTCGTGAATGGTAGTTACTGAATTGATTGACCAGCGCATAAAAGAGTTATGTAAAAATAAATTCATACCAAGTTTGAAATTATTAAAGTAAATTTCAATGATACATGTTAAAACAGATATTTTCATTATGAAACAATTTAAAGATAAAACTAGGACTCATTCCGAAGGAACGTTGGTAGTCCTGCGACAAACCGTAGACGTTCAGAAAGATTCTCCTTACTCGGCATGAAATGATATTGCAAAATCGAATCGATATCGTTCAATATACGCATGAACACTAGAGAAGAAGGCAAGGTTTGTAGGTGTGATGATCGGAAAAGATTATTCCTGGATAGTTATTTGTAAGGTAAATGTTAACAGTTTCTTCATAGAACAAGTGCCTAAAGAGGTGAAAAAATCTGGTTATGAGCCCCAAGCGGTGTTTGATATGATGACAGAAAGATTTGTCATAACTTGGACTTGAACTGCTGTCTAATCGTATGGTGAAAAATCTTGAATATTTGACACGAAATAATACCATCTCCGACTTCTGGCTACAGTCTTGAGTCAGTCTTCACGCATTAAATAAATTTTCCCCCATTCATCTGACCTTAAAAGAGGGTCTTTTCACCCCCATCCCCCTAACCATTTGTTCTTACAATAATACTGTCTCGTTTATTGCAATCGTAATTCATTCATTTTTCATTTCATTCATTTTTATTCATCCTGTAGATCAGATTACATTGATATAGGACATGTCACATAATATAAATTATAAAATTAACAAAATACAGTAGATTCTAAACCAGTAAACACACAAGATATGTAATGATGTAATGTAATGTAATATGGGAGTTAATGTTCGTACCCTTAATAATATTGTCACGTGTTAGGTATTTGTCACAAGACAAGTAACTGCACGCATCATTTGATATAGCGAATTTATTGAACACTCGCTCTCACAATCACAGAATTTACAATCTCAAAATTACTGCCATCGGCAGTATCACAAATACTTCTCCTTTAGTCACCTCCATGCACTCGATACAACCCGACTCGGCGACCGCTAAATTGCATTGGCTGGTTAATCGTTACTCACTAGTAACTCACTCACTCGTAACTGGCTCAGTCCTCACTCACTAATCATTCACTACTCACTACTCCTGAATCCAAGCCCAAGTCCAAGTCACATTGCGACTGAGTTCGTCAGTCTGTCTGTTTTGGTGTCGAGCCCCAACTGGGGCTCGTGACCAGATTTTTTTGAAAGTTACTGTCCTGCTCATTTGGGGCGCCCTCTCTGGCGAGAGGTCGGGTCTGTCATTTGTCAGTCATAGTCCGTATTAGTATGTCCATTGTCAGTATTTACATCATCATCATCATCAGTAATCTGTCAGACGACAGGTCCACAGTCTCTTCCAAAACAGTTTCTCCACTTAATGCGATCTTCTGTTTTTGGAAAGAGACTATCCAGGAAAAGTGATAATGTGGTAGTTTTTCCATTTGCTTTCCACATCGCAGTACAACAGCCGTTCAAACCACTCTGGTCACGCCTGCTGCTATACGAACTTGAACCATCTCGAGCATCATTTGCTCTGTGCTTCAAGTCGCTGCTGATGACGCTGCTTCCGACATCAGTTTTTGGTGTCTCTCTTCGTCTGATGCCTACCCTTTGACCTGTCCAGCAAGGGAGGCCCTGCCAGTAGCTACGCTACCGCTGGTATAGCTCTCAGGGTCCTTGGCATACTCAAACCCCCTCACCACGATAAGGTGGAGACACCAAGGAGGGGGAGTATTTACATATACTTATATTTTTAATCTCAATTCCTAGTTCTATGTACAATATATACAAGGCCTCTGTCAATCCAGGCTCGGTACAGCAGATTATGCCCTATTTCTAGTAGTATTCGCTACCACGGCAATCTAGTCACTTGAACGGTCATATGCCTGACCGCCGCCAAGTTTAAGCCTCTTTCTTATACTATCTGTGTCGGGCTTCGCCTTGTCCGATGTTGCGAACATTCTCATTATCATGATTTTGTATGGCATCTGCTTCTTGCCTGCATAATTTTGTTATGTAATCATATACGTATGGAATTTTGAATGCCGTGTGCAATTCGCGCACCGGTGTGCGCCTTGGAAAATTACCAATGGTGCGGAGAACCTTGTTTTGCAGGCTCTGCAATTTCACTAGATGGGTGTCTGCCGCAAATTCCCAGGCGGGACTAGCATAAGTCATTACGGATCGATAAGAGCTTTATGGAGGGCCAGTTTAATGTTAGCGCTCAATCGCTCACTTTTAAATGTGGAATATACTCTAATGAATGTTCTGAAGGCCTTGGCTTCGATCATTTCTATGTGTAATCTCCATGTCACTCTCTTATCGAAGATTACACCTAGATATTTTGCACTATTTACAATGGAATATTTCTTCCATTTAGAGTAAGACAAGACTCAGACGGTCGACGACCACGAGAGAAGTAGATCCCCTGAGTCTTATCTTCATTAATTTTTTTATTCCAGCGCTCACACCAGGTCTCCATTGAGCTGAGACCGCGCTGGAGTTTTCTAACAATAAAACCCTCCTTGCGATCTGTCGCATATAGACAGGTATCGTCCGCAAAGAGGGCCAGGTTAACACCATGAGTTTGGGGGGCATCATTTATGTACAAATTGAAAAGAGTAAGGGGAAGGACAGAACCTTGTGGCACCCCTGCTTGCATTTCCCTTGGCGTTGACATTTCGCCTTCTACCGAGACCCTGAACTTACGTTTAGAAAGAAAGGACCCAATAAGCTTGGTCAAAGAGTTAGAGAATTCCAAATTTGATAACTTACACAGGAAGCCTGAGTGCCACGTGGTATCAAAGGCTTTTTCGATGTCCAAGAACACTGCAGCCGTAGACATTTTATTGTTGAAATTAAGAGTCACGTGGTCCGCCAGCCTCATACATTGCAATGTCGTGCTCTGACGTGCACGAAAGCCAAACTGACTTGCGTTGAGCAGGCCTCTTTCTTCAATATGTTTACGGAGGAATTTCAAAATTACTTTTTCGAATAGTTTACCTGTCGTGGACAGGAGGCTGATCGGACGTAAATTTTGAGGAAATTTCGGGTCCTTACCAGGTTTAGGTAAAGTTATTACTTTTGCTTCCTTCCAAGTTGTTGGAAAATGAGAGAGCCGAAGCCAGTGATTGAATAAATGAGTTAGGTGAACGAATGGTCGCCTTGGAAAGTGCCTGAGGCATTCAGATGGGATGCCGTCAATTCCACATGCCTTTTTTAATTTCAGGGATTTAATTAATTCCTGAACGTCGCATGGTCTGATCCTTTGAGGGGGGTTGTCGTCCACGATTTCCAGCAGAGCTTGAACTCTAGCCTCCACCCGCTGTTCATGGTTTTCGTCGCACAGGTCATGTGGCGTGTACTGCATTTCCAAACAGTCGGCAATTTCGTTGGCTTTTTCAGAAGGATAAAATGTAAGGCCATGAGAACCATGAATAGCAGTTGGTGCCCTTGGTCCGTCTCTCTTAAGGAGAAATTTCGCAATGGGCCATATACTCTGAGGTGTGACTTCAGCGTTAGCTATATTTGTTTCCCACCGTTCAAGTGCTTTTTTTCGGGTCATTCGCCTGATTGATTTGGTGACCCAATTGACTGCCGTTTTACACGCTGGATCCCTGGTTTCTTGCCACAGTTTTCGTAGCCTCTGTTTATATTTTCTCAATAGATCTAGACCAGGAAGTTCGTTGTTTATATCCGAAAGAGTAATTTTACTTGTCGACAACTTATATGCCGTAGCTATAGAGGCTGCAAAGTCGCGTGCCGCTTTATCGGCTTCTACCCCCGAATTAATTTCTAGTTTAGGTGATATTAATTCAGAAGCGAGGCTTTGAAACCGCTCCCAATCTGTAAATTTTCCAATGGGCTCCGAAAGTTTCCTAATTTTAACGTGATCCAGTATGTTGAATATTATTGGTAGATGATCTGAGTCCAAAATATCAGAGACGATGACATCTGACACTCTGATATTTTTGTGAACCACAATGTCTAATACATCATCATTTCCCGCAGGGGAATAATGAGTGGGGCACTGTGGTGCTGAGATTTCGAAATCACTCGTATCAAATAAATCCATAAGTTTCAAGACTGAGGGGTTTGAAACTCCGCTATTCCAAAATTGGTGTTTAGCATTCAAATCACCTGCCAAAATAGACTTACGTCTAAAGCTTAAGAGCCCTGTGATATCAGGATCACTCCAGGCCCTGCCTGGGGATTTATAAACAGCTGTAAGCAGTACTTCACTGTTACCAACTGGTATGCAGACCCCTGTCGCTTCTACTGAAATAAGGGGTGGTAGGTCTACATGGTTAAGGGGCATGTCTTTCCTAACTGCAACGGCAGTTCCGCCTTTTCTGCCCGAGTGGCGCTCGATTCTATAAAAGTGGTAATTTGGAATAAAGAATCTCTCATGAAGTTTCAGATGTGTCTCTGAAAACAGGGCCACATCTATGTGTAGGTCTTGCAGCTGTTTACTGAGCTCATAGCGCTACATCCCAATGCCGTTCGCATTAAATGCTATGACTTTGAGGGGCCTATGAACTCTAGTGGCCATTTTCGTTCATTAGGTTTAGAACAATTTTAGTAATGGCCATTATTTTTTCCTCCTCAGACACTGCACCACTGACCTCTGTCATAATCTGCGTGCGATACCAGCTAATCATGAGATTGCAACCAAGAAAACCTCCATGAGAGAGTCACCCCTGGGGGTGGTATATAAGCTCCCCCCATTCCACCCCTCCACATGGGTTGGTCAAAGCGTTTTATAATGTTGAGCCCAAAAGCTTGTGGCACCTTATCGGTACTCTAGGGAGATAGCTCAAGTAGCCGAAGCTACCCCCATAGGAGTGCTCTCCCGCATTTTTCCTGGGTAGACCATAGTGAAACTCAAGAGTCATTATGCCACCACATGGGAGGCTCTGGTCACATAGCCATTGCCTTTTATGGGAACTTAGCCGCCACTCCTGGTTGGTCATACTAATCCAGACCCCGAGACTGTCGTTGCCCGGCGGGACCACGAGGAGGTGTCCCAACGCATCTCTGGTCCATGATGCATCCCCACCAAAGACATCAGCCGTAGTTCGGCCAACCTCATTTAAGACAGGTGTCATGAACACCTGTAACGTGTGCCCTTACCAAGGTCACAGTTACTCCCGCCTGCCATTGCCCTTTATGGGAACTTAACCGCCAGTCCCAGTAGGTCATACTAATTCAGAACCCAAGACTGTTGTTGCCCAGGGGGACCACGAGGTGTCCCAATGCATCCCTTGTCCATGATGCGTTCCCACCAAAGACACAGCTGTACTTCGGCCAACCTCTTTGTCGATGGTGTCATGAATACCTCTAAGTTGTGCCCTTAAGGTCACAGTTACTCCCGCCCTCTGAGAACATATCCCTGTTGGCCATCTGTCGCATATATACAGGTGTCATCATCAAAGGGACCTAAATAGACACCAGGATTTGAGGCGTATCAACGAGGGAGATTCGGAAATTAATGTCCTTTTATTTTAAGCAACTAATTTTGGAGCAGGGGAGAGCTCACACATGTGAGGTAGTGTCAAATGACTCATTGCCTTATAGTAAATCATCACACAGCTGGTCACATAATGTTTATTCTCCTCTCTACAGACTGAGTTATGATGTGTCCTGTGACTGATAAAACCGCCAGCTACGAAATTCATGCAGTTATCCGCTTTATTCACGCTAAAAGCATGAGTGCTATGGAAATCCATCATAAATTATTTACGACCAAAATGTAATGAGTGAAGGAACTATAAGATAATTGTATAGAATGTTCAAAGATGGGTGAACAAATGTTCACGAAGAGTGAAGTGGTCGGCCGGCAATCTGTAGTGAGTGACAGTCTTGTTCAAAGTGGTGACCAAACCCTTTACGACAGACGGCGCTTCACTTTCGCATGAATTTCCATAAATTTATAGCATTGTTTTCTACGAGATTATCACAGTTGGGCTAGGCTATCACAAGTTTTGCGCAAGATGCTCACAGGTGTGGACAAAACATAGAGAATGACGTCGGCTTTCACCTTTTAGAACGATACCACAGAGATGGAGATGAATTTCTCAATCATGCCGTACGAGCAACAGGTGATGAAACCTGGGTTTCATTTGTGAATGTTGAAACAACAGAACAGTTAATGCGGTGGTTGCACAAATATTCAAGAAACAAGCCGGAAATTCTGAACAAACATTGTCTGCCAGAAAGCTCATGGCAACTGTTTTCTGGAACAGGTAAGGAGTGCTGATGGTGCAATTCATGCAACAAGGGTTGACAATGTCAGAAGTGTATTGCAAGACAAAAAATGCATAGGGCCATTCAGAGTAAAATGCGTAGAATGCTGATTCACAGTGCAGTACTCCACCATGACACTGTGCATCTGTATACAGCTGCTGACACTCTAGCACTGCTGAAGTGTTTCAACTGGGAATTATTTAACCAACCTCCTTACAGCCCTGATTTCGCTCCAATCGACTATCCTCTAAATAAAGCACAATAGACCATTGAAGGTCACAGTGCTAGGGCCAGTTTAATGGCTCACCCCTCATACTCATCCCCTAAATAAGATCTACCATCTGTTTACCTATCTGAAGAACTGATTGTAATGACAGCACTTCAACAATAATGATTTCATGGAAAGTGTCAGTAACATGGCTGATCTCACAGGCAGCAGATTTCTTTGACACAGGCCTACAAAAACTAATTCCCCAATATGACGACAGTCCCTTAGTTCTGGTGGTGACTACGGTGAGAAGTAGCTCAAGTATGTATGCATTTTTCATATACAGGCATATCTGGGAAATATTGCAGGTTCGATTCCAGATCACCACAATAAAGTGAGTCACATACATCTTTTGGTTTCTCATTGCATATAAAACTATACTGTAGTCTATTATGTGTACAACAGCATTATGTATAAGAAACACTGTTCATACCTTGATTAAAAATACTTTATTAATAATAAATGCTACACCTCATCTGAGCTTTCAGTGAGTTGTAATCATTTTTCTGATGGTAGGTCTTGCCTTGATGTTGATGGCTGCTGGCTGATCAGGGTGGTGGTTACTGTAGGTTGGGGTGGCTATGGCAATTTCAGATTGACAATGACAGATTTTCTTGACACACGGCTGCCCATGATGCTTGGTCCCCTGGGGAACCACCTCCAGTACCCACTGGACAGAAAGCTGGCTGGACTTCAGAACTGGTCTGGACACTGTGGAGAAGAGAAAAATCTTCCCTTGCCAGGACTGGTACCCCAGGCATCCAGCCCACAACCTGTTAACTATACTGACTGAGCTATGCCAGTTCCTGGTGAAGATGTAGAAGACTGTGTGTGCTGCAACAGAGTGATTTGTGGAGCATAGATCTGTGAAACTGTTAATAAATCCAATTACCAATCCAAACCCTGTGTCTAGTTACTAACATGTAACGGTATGTTTCATTTTCCTTGCTCCGGTTCAAAGAGCCACAAACCTGAAAGTTCAGGGTTAAAATATTACCTAGTGAGAAACCATTAATATAATTTGTTGTCCAACCAAATTTATAGAGTGCCATCAGTTCATAAAGCCTTTATTGAACAATATTTCGAATTACATAGATTGTCTTACACTTATCAGTATGTACAACAGTGTTATTACAAATGTACACCTACAGCACGCAATCACACTGGGACCACATGACTTGTCAACTCCCCAATGACAATGGCAGAGCCTTTGGCCCCACCAGCACTGCACTGTTAGCCCATGGCTGGCCTTGAATCAAATGCCACAGCATCTGCTCAGCGTGTATAGTACACTCGATAGTACAGTGTCTTGGAACGCCATAAGGAGTATGAATTGTCAAACTTGAGGAGATAGACACCCTGTCCTGGATACACATGACTCCCAGCATAAACTTCCTCCTGGCAATCTCGTCGGTACACTGGCACAATGATGGACAATGCAGGACGGTTGCTCATGTCTGTCACCTTTGTGCCTGTCAGCCCACTGCCCCGTTCCACATCCTCACCTGGAAGTTCTGCAAACAGATTAAGAACAGCAATCAGATCCACATATCAATGATAAAAAATTGTAAGCTTTGGGTCACACCTTCAATACCTCCAAAAACTGATTATAATGCCATAATTTGGCCATCAAAACTTACCTGTACAAACGTGATGGATACTTTACCTTTAATAATGGACCTTGTTAATATACCACTGAATTCATTAAAAATTAATGAATCAGCATGACAGGATAAAAATAAATTTAAGTAGCCTGAGAATGGGGAAGATGGGACTTAACATTAAGGAGATCTCGGTAGATTTCATAAAGCCTACTTTCCTGCTTGCAGGTTTCAACTCTGACAAAGTCTGATGCAGTTTATATCTCATTTATATAATAATAAAAGTTCATAATCCAATAATAAAATTCCATTTAGCTCATGTAGTGGTTTGCTGGATTCATGTGCAAATGGTCATGAGACCAAATCTCAGTCAAGTAAAATTTTATCACTTGCAACTGTAAATAAATGTTACAGATTATTATGCATTCTTTGCACAACATGAAAGAAAAAATGCATATTGGAATAACCACATCTGCCTGGTTGTCAGTGCATACGTTTCAACTGGAGAACCACTCTATGGATATTGATGAAATTTTGATATTGCACTATCACCACACATTTCCATAGGTTTACCTTACTTGCAAATGTGAGGTTTCAGAATGCATTCTGTTCCAAGTCATTTAGACTGCAACTCAAACTACAGTGAAACCATGGTACAATGAGCATGGCTTGTAACGAGGACTTCATTAGAGCAAAAGAAGCCACTGGAACCACCAATTTACTGATGTCATACAAGTGAAAAACCATCTAAAAATGAGGGTTTTTTCAGACACATTCATCATAACGAGTGACTCCTAACTAGCTTTCATTGTTTTCCCGTAACTTTTCACATCAAGCATATTTAACTGTTCTGCTTCCAAAGTTATATATGGCTAGGAGCCTATAAAGATCTCATTAATCCAACCTCTACATCCTATCTCTGCCTAAGAGGAAGTTCACATTCCAGAATCTTAACTATGAGCAGCTTAATCACTGATAAATGTACATCACATGACAGCCACTGCATCATGCAGTATCTTCCCCTTATTTTTACACAGGTTTTACCTTCCCCTGAGCTTCCTCTGGCCTAGCTTGGATGATGTTATAGAACACAACTACACAGGTACATGTTCAGCATTCTGTCACATCAAACATCTACTGTGAACTAGGTGATGCCAACTGTAAATTTTTAAAAATCTTAATTATGGAAATAAAGTGGAAGAGCTCAGACTTGAATGCAAAACTTGAATTAATACGTCTGTGAGAAGTTAGCAGTGCGTCAAATGGCAATATGGATTAACTTCTTTGACAGTGTTTGCAATACTGAAAAACAAAGAGAAAGCATGGTATATACTGAACCCATACAAGCTAACACTGTTCCTTTCTTTTGTGACTATTGGAGAAATTCATTTTGCTATCAGTTTGTGAATGTATGGTGAACATTATGAGAACAAATATGTCCTACCATTGTAACATCATTCTGTCAAGTTCATGTAAGTATTTCAGTAACATGAGAGGTCCAAATTCTAGGCAGATTACTTCTCATCATTTTGGTACCCTTAACAGCTGTTGGAAGCCCTCTTCTGTGTGCTCAGAGCGTTAAGCAGGTCCCAGTAAGACCAACACTACAATAAAAATTCTCACCAACACAGTGCTGTCTTATTTTCACTCTTTCATTAGTGTCTTTATAACACATGCAGCAAACCCATTTTCTCTAGATGGATGTGGATTTCTTTCTTTGCCAGTATATAGAACACTATGTATGCAATATTACTGTCATACAACACTGAAATATTTATGCCCCATTTTGCAGATTGTTTTGAAAGCATATACTGCTTCAAGTGTGAATGTACTTTGACATAAAGCATATTTCAATTGCTACCTTCTTACCACATTAAAAAATAGCCTTATATTTATCCTTCATATAGTAAATTATTGGCCTTATTTTGTATAATGCATCGTAGTTCTAATCTCCTTCATGAGGCCACCCAATAAAATTACTAAAATGCAGAAAGGATTGAAGTTTTCACTGGTCTCTGCTAATATTCCTGAAAATCCAGAAGTTTGGGTTACCGAGGTTGGTTACATTCCCTTGAAATATAATTCCAGTTAAATGTGGTACAATCCAATATCATTTCTATAGCAACAAGAGCTCTGATGTCATGTGCTTCTTTCCAATTCAAGTACATTCACCTAGGTGAGCAGTGTACAGAACTGTCAAGGTGTAACACTGGATAATTATTTGTGTGTTAGGCACCAGGTAATCACATATTTCATAAGGAGATCTCTGAAGAACCATTCTCATAGTGAAAACCAAGTTAGGAGTCTTACATTCTGTGTCCTTTGAAACAGATATAGATTCTAAATTCACTTACTGAAAATCACATAATACATTCCATTCATTTAGTTCACTACATCATATACCATCACTGGTATTATCATCTTCACTCACATCTATTGCATCTTCATTTTAAATGCAGCTCCATTAAGCGTTTATGCAATTGTTACATTTAATTCTCTTCCTTGAACTCGCTGTAAATTTAGATTATGTAAGTGTTCGGCATAACAATGATAATCAAAACAGAACTTATAACGGCATGGCAGCCATGTGACATTTACATTCTAATTGAAGTCCTTCAAACTAGATGGCAGCACTATGCAGGACAACAAGAGTACGTTTTTCAAGCCTTCACCTACACATACGAAAGCCTCTTCTATGAAGCCAGGGTATTTTTCAATGAGGGAAGACAAATAAGGGAAGAAGAGGATCACAATTACAAATTCAAAAAGAGTTTCCAAGAAAGAATGAGAACCCGCAAATGTTTCACCATGGATGGCTCAAAAATGGAGGACAATTCAGGATAACTAAGATAGCATCCACATTCACAGCACAAGCACTAGCAATTGGCAAGACACTAGAAATCATAAAAAAAAAATACACTTCGCACAACTTCATGATTTTCTTGGACTCGGCAAACGTGTTAAAAGGTATTAGTAACTCCTCTACAATGAACAACACATCGCACATTACTCAGATGTTTAAAGACATAGAAGAGACTGGAATCGAGAGGGGAAAAAATCCAATTTTACTGGATCCCAGGGCACTGCAGCGTTAAAGTTAAGGAGAGGGCTGACTTGGAGGCAAAGCAAGCAATCAAAGAATGTAGAGATAGTCAATTACTATTACCAGTGGCAGATCTTAAAACCCAGTGGAAAAAGAAAGGCAAAGAACTTCACAGTTTCGGCCAAAACACCAAACAAGACAGAGGAGAAAGCTACTTTGATAGGTACTAGAGGAATGGCTTGTCTCCATGGTTCCACAAGATAAAAATGAACCCTTGTGCCTTCATGTCAATAAAGCATATGAGAGCAGGCCACACTAGTCTTTAAGCAAGCCTAAAGATATTTAACATTTGTGGCCATGGCCAAATATGAATGTGATGGGCTGCGCATGGAGAAACATATCTTCTTGGATTTTAAATGATATGAGGACCAACGGGCAACAAGGATGGCCATCCTGTCTGAGAACAGAAAAAAAGAAAACCCAAAGTCAGTTACATAGCTCTTAAGGCTAGAAGAAAAAAGATTTGTGCAAGGTGTCATAAACAACATCCCTATATTTATTTAAAAATAGATATGTAAGAAGGAGTAAATGTAAAAGGTAAAGGTAAAGTTTCATCTTTGCTTAACTAATTAAGCATTATGCCATGAAGGCATATGGGGGAGTGGATGTATAGATCCACATTTTCTTGACTTCGACACTAGATGGAGGTGAGTGGTCAGCTTCACGCCCTGGCCGCTTTACTCCCACTACCCACTGGATTGGAGGTTGGGTGGACCCCACAGCCAGCCTGGATAATTTGAGAAGAGAACAATTTTGACCCTACTGGGAGTCAAACTTGGTTGTCCAGCCCATAGCTAGTCGCTATATTGACTATGCTACCCAACAAAATAATAATAGTATACTCTCAGATTTAAGTTAAGATATATATTAAGAATCATGGGAAGATAGCTGTAATAGAATAAGATATTTATAAGAATGTGCTACAGAGAGCCAGATGGGCATTGCATTGGCCTTTTTCTATTTACAATCATTTTTCACAGAAAAGAAAGTATTATGAAAAAGTTAATTAGTTATGTCCAGTGTGACTGGTTAAGATTTTTTTTCTTATTTCAATTATTCATGCCCTTACATGTTTTGGTCTTCAGAGACCATCTTCAGAGGGGCACCTTTACATCAATACAGTTAGGAGCCACTATTACAGTACATGTTCTAAAAGTTAAAATATATACATACAATATAGATGTTACAATTGGGTGTAAATCTAAAGTCTTTACAACTACAGCGGCTGTTCCACTACATTAAAATATTTATAGTTAGTTTGATAAGATTCTATTGGAATTCATAAATCAAGCTGGTTCATGCTGTCCCTTTTATTATTTCTTTTTGATGGGGGCCGAATGTGTGCCATCTTGTCATTCTCAAGAAGAAAAACAGTACAGTGGGCCACAAACACATACGGGACAACATTAAAGAACCCTCTTCTTGAGAACAACGAGGTGGCACATATTCAGCCCCCGTCAAAAAGAAATAATAAGAGGGACGACATGAACCAACTTGGTTTACGAATTCCAATAGAATCTTACCAAACTACCTATAAATATTTTGAAGTATTGGGACAGCCGCTGTTGTTGTAATGACTTTAGATTTTACAACCAATTGTATATTATTTATATTGTATGTATATATTTTAACTTTTAGAACATGTACTGTAATAGTGGCATCTAACTGTATTAATGTAAAGGTGTCTCTCTGAAGATGGTCTCTGAAGACGGAAACATGTAAGGGCATGAATAACTGAAATAAGAAAAAAATCTTAATCAGTCACACTGGATGGAATTAATTAACTTTTTCATAATATTATTAGTGTGATGGCCCAGAATGAACAAATCAAATAAAAAAAGTATGCTGTATTTTAGCGTCCTGTTGCACTGATTCATATTCATAATGTGTATGTATTTCACAGTCTTCAAGTGCATACAATCCCATTTATCACTTCTACACTACATGTTTCGGCAGTATGCTGCCATCTTCAGGTGTATCGATCCATTAACCATTTCACCGCTTGCCTTTACATGTCCATTTACAAATAATATTAAATTTGTATACGTCCTTATATAATAATAAAGTTTATGTATTTAAAACTTGTTAAAACCTATTATCTCATACGTCATATTTTAAAATTTGTGTGCATTATTGATCATCCACATGATAAAATATAAAATACATAAAGTCAAATAATGCAGCAAATGCAGAACATTATTCCTTGAGGTGGACCAAAGCTAAATTATGTAACACAAGGCAATGCACAGACATTCAACTATAGTCAAACACCAAAAAAACAGGGTTAATGTTGTCAGTTGAGAAAGCAGTCTTCTCCATTAAAAGCATAACTATGGAGCACCTCATAAAAGCATTCACTTATACAATGTTTCTGACTAATATTTAATCACCCAAAGTAACAGGCTTCAATAGCAAAATTCATTACAGAATCCATCTACTACTTTTGTTATCACTACAGTGTACTTCAACTGGATAGCTAAACAATTTAAATCATCAGATCTAAGAGTTCTGAAACTCATACCATCATCATCGTCATCATCATCTTCATCATCCTCGTCCTCACTCTCTGAGATATGGACTGACACCTGGCTACTTGCAGATTTTGTCCACTCAAAGTACACCCCAAAGCCTATATCATAGCTGTCAGTGGCAAACTCCCAGAACAGACATGTACCATCCTCGTGTGTTGGTACCCGGACCTGTGACAGTGCAGACAGAATTGCTATGAACACATGAACTGGGTGTGGTACTTCCTTAGTCATGGAGTATGATATTTCTTTATTTATTTATTTGACGATGCCTTTCAAGTACACAGTCACAACAAATTGTGTAACGACTACAGTAATGGAGGACATGGAAGCAATTGAAGTGTATTTTAAGGTCCTATCCCAACATTTGCTCACAGATAGAGAATATCTGTAAGAAATTCGAGTCAGTCTCCTGAACATGAAACAAATGCTAACCAGTACACTGAGATGTTTGATGTGTGGTGTGAGACAGGGACATGAAAGTAGGTTTTCAATTTTATTTGAACACCTCTTAAAATTATGGGAAACCTGAAAAAGAACCTCTTCCTATTCATTCATAACATCTGCACTTACATGGAACTCTACTTCCTTATTTAATCATGTGATAGCTAATCAGGTCATTTAGATGCAAATACATACTTCATCTATAGCAAACCCAAAACACAGAACCTGGACTTCTGCAATGAGATCTGTCTGGGCTACATATGGCCTTTTTAAGGTCAAAGCTCAGAAGTTAACACTACTTCTAATAATTATTAATTAAACCCATTGGCTTAACCAATATAGACAGACAAGAAGTGCAGAAACCTCTTTGAAATCTGATGAGGAGGTGAGAGGATAATATCAATATGTATCCCAAAGAAATATTCTTCAATGGAATGATGATCAGCCACAAACTGCAAATGCAGTGCTGGATGTGCGTAATGAACGTTTAACAACAGGGTGCTTCCTAACCGTTTTCCTAAATGGTTCAACATGGGTGGTCCTGATCACACTCTTCAGATCCTAACCCATGTGATTATTTATTATGGGGCTTTCTGAAAGATACAGATTACAAAAAACAATCTGCACACAACTAAAGAATTGAAACAAAAACTTTGGCAGCAGTTATCAGCATCAGTGAAGAAACTCTAGCTGCAGCAGAGCAAAATTTCTGACTTAGGCTGAAGATGGTCATAGACACTGATGATGCCCATGTATTTACGTGATGTTAATCTCCCAAGACTACTGGACTCACACATATCAAATAAAGTGATGTTTGTTGTGTAGTTAGGTAAATATGCAGTTGTGAATATCCAGCAAGGAGTGGTACTGAAGCTGTTACACATATTACTTTGATTTGCTACTGTTATTACAATTTACATGCATAGTTATAATTACTGTATTACATACAATATACAAGAAGTCATACCAACTACATTATTTTCAACTGAATTTTTGGGTACTGTATATCATCCCAGTCTATTCAAATCACATTCTGAAAGCTGGTTGTGTCTCCTTCTTCAGGTGACAGGTGTAACTGTCCAGCTTATGGTATGGTCAATTGATGTTTTGTGTATGGTTAGGGTTCTGTGACATTCCTCACTTTCATCTCACAATATGAGATTTTCCCCCTGAGACATGCAGCAAGTGGCTTGGGTCAAGCTTGAAGCCAGCTGCCCATCCGTAAATCAGTCAAGTTAATGCGTAACACAAGGCCGAGTTCTTTAGAAATTCTAAACTTGACAGGGGAAGTCATAATTTTAGCAGCGTTGTTTTCTGCTACCCCAAAATCCGAGTTTGACAGCCACGCAGCAGGTGGCAAAGTTCACCCCTAAACTTTACACTCATGGATATTTGCTTTTCTAATTGGAGGAGAAAGATAAGCAACCTCCCAGTCTGCCCAGTCCAGCCAATCATAATCTGAAGTGCGAGGTCCTTCGCCCGAATTTTGGGTAACCAGGGCTAATATTTACCATTCAGAGCTTGCTTGACAAGGGACTCTGAAATTCACATTCACCGGAGGTACACATGTTCTGATCCCCATCAATACACCCTGTGGTGACTATTAACGTGTCTGTTTTAGTAAACAGTATGGAAGCTACATCCACTAATCTGCGAAGTGTGTCACTACGGTGCAGTTACCATTTATATAGTGCTGACTGAATAAAAACTTAAAACAGTTAATTGGTGTTGAGTGTGACTTTCCTGAGCCTAATGCCCCACTAATCACCCAAGTCGTGACCAGTCAACACGGCCTGAGAGGAGTCGAATTTCTCTACCAGAGCTAGTAGAACCAAAGAATGGTTACACAGGATAAAGTAAGGAATCCTACTCCATTAGGCCCCTTGGTATGGTTAAAGGGTGGCTCGGCCAAGAGACCCAAAAGAATACAATTCTCTACTTTATTCTGACCCCTGATGAAGCAATGGCACCCATTTCTGAAATCATGTGGTTTAAGAAAATCTGAATGACAATTTCCAAAATATCAGTTAAAAGGACAGTTATGCAGCATCATCATATATCTCGAAAATCCACAGCTACACTGTTTAACAATATTCAGAGGATTTTTCTGCTAGTCTTGTGATGTTTATAATCATGTAAATATCCTATATACTGGCATATAAGACATCCTCAAAATTTTAACTTTTATGCTGTGCGCCATGGCAGAATTTGCAAATGTAACTTGTTTTTGTGAGCAGCACACACCCTACAATACCTTGCTGGATTCTTCTTGCTCCTTTACCATACCCAGCTACTTACTCTAGTTTATGTTTGTTGAAGTCCTCTGATTGAGGCTCCTGTTTCTTCAATGGAGGTTGAGCATCATCTGAATTGGACTAGGGTGTGGTATGCTTTTCAGTGATCCTTGTCTACTCAGCCTCATGCAAGAACTTTTTGTATTTTCACTCCCATTTTTGTTTAAAGTTTAGTAACAGAAAATGTACTAAAGACAGTACAATTCAGAAGATACATACTATTTTTCTAAGGAAAGAATAACAAATTAGGTACTGAAAGGCCCTGCCCACACCTATAATGTACACATATTTACTTATCTGCAATAAAAATGGGCTTCTCTATTATCTCCTTTGTATTTTTTTCTTTCTTTCCCTACATCAATTTTGACTCATGAATTATACTAATCATGCAATTTGCGATCACTCGCAAAAATAAGCAAGGTCATGGTTGTTTACCCTAACTGGTGGTAGTTATGTAAGTGTCCAGGGTTTCTGTTTCAGTATTTTCATCATTGGATACATAAAAAAACTGATCTGCATAAACTTTTGACATTTGATCTGATTATAACTTCACTGATACTGCAGAAAACCATAAAACAACAGAGGGAAGAAGAGCAGAATCAATTATAATTGAGGTTCAAGCTCCTAGATACAATAACAAAACAAGACCAATAATTATTGGTCTTGTTTTGTTATTGTATCTAGGAGCTTGAACCTCAAATGGTGTGTTCTGGGAACTAGGCAAATTGAATGACAGAGCTGTAATACACAACTGCAGCATCACAAGCCACAGGTTAAGAGGTCTCTACAGTGGGAACTGAGCAGAGTGAATGATACAATTGCTTCACATTCTTACAGTATTTAAATGCATAGGTTACAAGTTCCACCTCATTTTTTCATTTATTTCCATTTTTTAAAAAAGAACCAGGTAGCAATTCAACTGACACTGCTGCGCTCATATGTGATGTGTAAGGACACAGATTACATGTGATATGCATTTATTAGTTGTAGACATACACATCTTTCCTCAAGCTGATATGTCAGCCACAGTAGCACCCATATGGTGAAAAGCAACACAGCCAAAGAAAATGGAAGTACATATAACCTGTACACAATGTATAAAATTTAAATCTCAACTTCAGTTGTGTCCTGTCCACGTGTTTAAGTATACCCTAAGATATCAATATCACATCATCATCTCTGTTACATTAAATTCCAAGACAGTAAAAAGCTGCTGAATGACTTGGCAAATGCCACTACTTGAAACAAGCTCCATACTTCCTTCCCATAGCAGGATAAACCACGACAGGGTCTAAGTACTATGGTAATGTTGTTAGCCATTACAAATTAGACCTAGTAAGCAAGAGTGATGACCTGCAGCCAAGCCTTCTTATGAACAACCACAGAATATCATTTATTCTGTTAACATCCTCAATAGTAGCTGTCTGGATTGCCAGCTGGATCTGGTGTTTATGTTACATCAGCAGTTGCAAATGGCATGTGATGTCAAGTTCATCCTGCCAACTTTGCAGTTATTGTATTCATGCTCATGCTATCCCAATACACACTAATCTCACTAAAATCTCTACATTAATTACATATACCACACGTGAAATAATTACAGTGTGGGTTAAGTTATGTACAGAAGTTGTTAAATGTCAAGTAGCATTTAAGGATTTAAGATTCACAACTCATGTTTCCCATATAAAATAATCCTTAGTTCTGGGGGACTATTTTTAAACTTGAAGGGTTGTCTCCTATGCCAGTATACATGGTAATTTAATGTATTTAGAATAAAACTGACCGTGACTGTCTCACCATGCCCCACTTTGATTATGGCATCTCCACCCTCTTTCCGAATAGATTCCTTGAACTCCTTGATATCTTTGCGGGTCCACATGGAAGCTGCAGAAATTGTGGGGAATTCACCTGGATTACAAAACATAACAACACTCCTCTCATGTAACCTATGCCACAGAAATCTTTAAATTATAAGATTCATATTTATAAAGCAACTAACACATACAACCAACAATAAATCTTCAGGATAAGCACACAGACAGGGCAGAGGGAAACTAAACTATATGTTTCCTCTGAATCCACTGAAATCTGTCACTTAGGTGCATTACTTTCTCTACTCTATATCAATTTAACCCACTGAGAATTACACAAAATATACTGGAGTTTGGATTAATTCTGGAAATATCAGTATCTGATGAAAAAATATTCATTGCCACCAAGATGCACCAGAGATGCTAATATTGCAGAAGTGTGTTATCATATCAGTGATTCCTATAGTGGTACGTGTGTACCATTCGCAGTTTTTTGGTCACACTGCACTATACCCCTCTTCACATATATGCCTCACCTGTAGGGGCTTGTAAACACAAGATTTTCACACAGCCAGAAACAAACAAAGGAACTACTACTTGTGTTTAGGAATTAAAAAAAAATGTTAATACACACCTACTGACAAAGCCCAAGGCATATATAGTCATGCTGTTTTCTGAAAGGGAAACCTTAGTGTCTGTCAATTCACATTTCTAAATGACCAAACCAAGCAAGGTCATATTGAATAGCATGTGTTCACAAAGTTAAAGACACAAACATTTTGTTGCTCCAATCCACCTGTAGACATCAAAACCAGCATTAGCCATGTAACAATACACACTTCATAAAAAAAAAACACATACAAACAAAAAAATTTAAACTGTTGAAATATTCTGAAGCATCTTACTGTGTGAAAAGCTAGGGCCATTATGTTTAGTGAGCAGGACAACAAAAACCTAAAAAAGGAATGCTTATTACTAAAGCAAAAACAAGTGAACTACACATGCTTCCATTACAACCTTATAAATACTGTGACATATTTCCACTACGCAGGACACCCCTTCCCCCACCAGCGGTGACATAACAGCGTCTAAGCGGTCACTGCTACGGTAACGGGCCAATCAACACTCTGCCCCCTCCCTCACGGTGACATAACAGGGGACAATGCTGGTAACACGAGGCAATAGGGAACAGTATAAAAAGCCAGCTGAGCAGTATGTGAAGAGAGTGTGTGATCGGGAGTGACATAGTGCGGATCGTGAAGTCACCAAGTGCAGTTGCAGTCTAGTATCTGCCAGAGTGAATAACTACAGGAGAAGTATTTGTGATACTGCTGATGGCAGTAATTGTAAATGTGAAATGTGTGAGTGTAAGAGTGAATGTGGAATAAATTCGCTAGATCCAAGACAGCATGAAGTTATTTGTCATGTGACAATACTTTCAATTCACTGTTGGGAAATATACATAGAAAATCTGATTTTGTATGGATTATGCCAATGATAGTAAGCATTCCTAAGACACGTAATCTTCTCTTACCATGCAATTCACAGGAACTACAATGTCATTAGTACTCACATTTATTATTTTAATGTTTCCCTTATTACTGAAATGTTGTTTTTCAACATTTTAATTATAAAAGGACTTTCTGAGGCTGTATCCTATGAAAAAGCATATAACAATAACTGCTATGTAACATGATATTAGTGCCACACAAGTACAACTCAGGTGTGGACAGTAACTTCATCACTAAGATGAAATAAGCATACTATAAGAAGTTTTATCACACTAAGTTCTATATATTTCATTTAAAACATTTTTTATTTTATTGAACATCAAATTACAAGTCCCTAGAAGTAAATACCATATTTACTTGTATAATCTATGCATTTCTTTTAGCTGAGGAATCATATCTGAGAGTTGGGGTGCTCAAAATATGAGAACGCTGATTTTCATAGCATAATTTTATACACTACTCTGAAGCAATTACAGCTGAAAGTGATATGGAACATGGATGCACATTCATGCCTATGGATTCCGCAGCATGATTCGCTGATGAACATCTGGCATGAAAATATCCTGGAATAAAGTTCTTTTGCACAGTTTTCATGGAAAAGGTGAATGCAATGTGACAAACATGGTGTGAATATTTGAGTCTATGTAATTCACCATATGATTCCTTGATGAACACTGAGACAAAAATGTTCCCTAACAGAATTTCGACAGACACATAACTGTGGCAGAAAATGTCATACAGCCGAATGTGATGTGGTAACGCAGCATGGATATTCATATCTACAGACTACACCATACGATTCCTTGATATACATTCAGATGAAAATTCCCCTTGATAAAATTGTTTGCTGCACAATTCTTGCTGATAATGCAATCATTAAGGTGACTGTAACATGGTAACATGGAATGGATATTTACACTAATGTATGCCACTGGGCAATCTGTTGATAAACAATGAGACAGGAAAGCTTGCTTGATAAAATTTCGACCACTGCACAATTCTTGCAGAAAGTGGAATTAAAGCTCCCCATACTGTGTCGCCACAATTAACCACATTTTTCACTAAAATTACATGGTTAAAACTTTATGAGTAGAAATATGGTACTCAATTATTTTCTAAAATGTCTTGTCTAAAAGTAAGAGCACATAGCTTACACATGTAAATATGGTATTATTATGCAAGTAAAGTGTTAGCCTGGGAGGTTACTGATTCTGTCACAAAGTCATAAAATACAGACTCTTAAAATATGGCAAATAAAACTTAAACTACAAAGACAAAACAACTCCATTCAGTGTGAATATTTAAGTTTATAGACCAATAATAAACAACGCTAATGCACCCACACAAACTAGCTAAATACATACATCAAAGACTAAACGAATATTTAAATTAAAACACGAGTACATCATCAACACAACACAACACAACACAATTTGCAGAAAACATAAGAAAACTAAAACTAAATCCAGATCATAAACTACTAACAATGGATATTAAGGACCTCTACATTAATATCCCAATCAGCGATACACTTCTTGTAACCAATAAATTACTCAAGGACATGGACAAAACCATTAGAAAAGAAATTATGTCCATATTTGAAATGATATTGTATCAAGACTATTTTCAATATAATGAAAAATATTACAAACCAAGATCAGGCATAGCCATGGGCTCCCACCTATCAAGTACAATGGCAGAACTCTTCCTACAAGACATAGAACAAAGCAGAATAAAACATCTGCTGCAAGATGAGAAAATTACATACTTTAACAGATACGTAGACGACATCTTCATAATATATAATCAAACAAAAATAACCCCACAATGCAACCTCAAACATTTCAACAGACAACATAAAAACCTGCAATTCACAATAAATGGGGAAGTAAACAAGTCTAACTGGACTTAAACATATTTAATAGACATGGACAAACAGAAATGGAAATATGAAGAAAACCCACAACGACAGACATAACAATAAACAATAAATCATGCCACCCTAAAGAACAAAAATTAGCAGCATATAAAAATTGGATGCAGACTTCTTATACTACTACCCCTTGAGGAAAACGCTAAAAACAAAGAATTAAATACAATTATTAATACAGCACTAAATAATGGCTATAGAAAGGAAGACATCACACATCTATATAACAAACTTTAACAAAAGATAAGTAACCCGGATAATAAAGACGAAAAAGAACAAAAATGAGTCACTTATACTTACACAGGAAACTACATATGAAAAATCACAAAACTATTCAAAAACAGTAACATGAAGATAGCCTTCAAAACAACCCACACAATAGGTAAACTAATAAATGAAAAACGGGAAATAAACCCCTACAAACAAAGTGGGATATACAAAATAACATGCCAAAGTTGCCAAAAAGTACGTGGTGCGTTCTAAGGTCTCCAATATTTTTCTCACACAATAACCATACAAAAATTTGAAACTTCTGTCACTTTTCAATGTAATCTCCCTGCAGCCATACACATATTTCACAATGTCAACGCCATGATTCCATGGTCGCTGTGAACGCTTCTGTAGGAGTTTGTTTTGACCACTGGAAAATCGCTGATGCAATAGCGGCATGACTGGTGAATGTGCGACCACGGAGTGTCTTTCAGCGTTGGGAAAAGCCAAAAATCGCTAGGAGCCAGGTCAGGTGAGTAGGGAGCATGAGAAACCACTTCAAGGTTGTTTTCATGAAGAAATTGCTGCGTTGCATATGCCCAATGCACTGGTGCAGTCCTGGTGAAAGAACACACACGCAGTCTTTTCCGGCCGTTTTTCTCGCAGTGCTGGAAGGAGCTTGTTCTTCAAAACATCTTGGTAGGATGCACCTGTCACCGTAGTGCCCTTTGGAACGCAATGAGTAAGGATTACGCCATCGCTGTCCCAAAACATGGCCATCATCATTTTTTCTGCACTGGTGTTTACCTGAAATTTTTTGGTGGCAGTGAGTCTCTGTGCTTCCATTGAGCTGACTGGCGCTTCGTTTCAGGATTGAAAAACGGCATCCATGTCTCATCCATTGTCACAATTGATGAAAAGAAAGACCCATTCATGCCTTCATCCAACATCGCCTGGCAAATTGCCATGCTCACAGCTTTGTGGTCGTCTGCCACCATTCGTGGCACCCACCTGGAGGACACCTTCCACATTCATTAAGTCTTCATGCAGGATTGTGCACACAGATCCCATGGAAATGCCAACTTTGGAGGCGATGTTTTCCACACTCAATCGGCAATCCTCCAAAACAACTTTCTCAACTCGCTCAACCATATTGTCAAACCGGCTGGTGCGAGGCTGGGATTGTTTTGGTTCGCTGTCACACGACATTCGGCCTTCTTTGAACTGTTGCACCCATGAACGCACATTTTTCACACTCATGACATCTTCACCACATGTCTTACTCAACTGGCAATGAATTTCAATGGGTGTCGCACCACGCAAGTGGAGAAAACGAATAATTACTCACTGTTCTTGTAACAAAAATTTCACCATTTTAGGTATCAAAAACACTCCTCACTCTCGCGGCCACCACTAGAGTTCTGTGTGCCGTACAGTGCTGCCATCTGTCACGCATTCACAAAGAGTGCACACGTATTTTAAATTAAACCGCATGTGTCTATCTGCTCCCACTCCTGAGAAAAAAAAAATCGGAGACCTCAGAACTTGAATGCCCCTCATATACATCGGCCAAACTGGCAGAAATCTAACAACAAGATACAAAGAACACGTAAGAAACATAGGACTAAACAAAGACAAATCAGCATTTGCCCAACACATATATTGCTTTAATAAGTTCAATAAATTGATAGAAACACACAAAAGAAAGTAACAGCCAATGTAACATGTTCAACCTCATAATACAACATCAGAACATGCCAACATTAACATCACAGACACGTCAAGTATAAATTACGCAGCACAGCACATTCTAGAACAGTGAAAACAACACAGCACGCCACGAACACACACAGGACGATACCAAGGTAAGACAAAACAAAATCCTTAAAATATATATATACAGTAGGGTCGCGGGAATAATACAATACCCATAATATATCTGCAGAATCTCCTTCTCAAGATAGACAGGCGGCACAAGTTCAGCCCCCCTCAAGAAACACGATAGGAGAAGGGACACAAACCTACTTGGTTTATAAATTTTAACTTAAACAACAAAGTTTTAAAAACTTTAATATACCAGAAAACCTGCTGTGGTTGTGGAAAAGTTGGATTTTGTGTATATTGTGCATTGCAGACATTGTATGTGTATGTATTTTAGCACTCAGAACACCCATTGTGATAGTAGTTTCCAAATATGTATTGATGTTCCCTCTGAAGATGGTCCATCAGGACTGAAACATGTAAGGGTTCTAAGTTTTCAAGTAGTAAAAACTTATATAGTCACACTGGACGGAGTTGTTTTATCTTTATAATTGTTAGTGTGATGGACCAGAATGAAACAAATCAAAAACTTAAACTGGCAGACAAAATTACACAATACCAGCCACGATGACATAAGACATTGGTAAGTTCAACATAATTTCATTCTGCCTGAGTGGAGATGCATCTTGTGAGAGTTAAGGAATTCTACACAGCCCTAATTTACAAATAATATGTATATATGCCAGACACTTATAATTACCTTGAGTACCATCTTCCTCGCTATCTATCTCCCTGTCCAGAGCATCTGTCCCTCCATTACTCAGTAGACGGGCCGTTTCATCCATTGTCACCTCAGTGGTTGAAAGTGGTTCCTGCTTTTGCTGACAGCACTGTTGTTGGTACAACTGCTGCATGTACTGATGGTAATGCTGCTCCTGCAGTTGCCGGATCAACACCCCTTGCTGTAACATTATTAATTTTTTATACTAGCAACAACAATACAATGCAATTTTCTTGATAACTATGCTACAATAAACAATACAGAAATTGGGCAAGGCAACGGGTGGAATTTTTAATGAGTGAACTTGGTAACAGACAAAATGTTGTTACGAAATCAAATTTCCTTTATGTAGGATATGAGGTTCTCACATCAGTGGTTATAAAGAGTACTATCTTCTGGGACATAACACCACGTAGTCTGTTTGGCATTTCAGAGGAACATATTACTTCCATCTTCAGGGTCTCCTTGCCACCTGCTTTCATGGTGGTCTCTTGTTCGACTTATTCTTAGACCCTGAAGATGGCAGCAATATGTTGCTCCAAAACATCAAACGGACTACACAATGTTATATCCCAGGTGACAGTACTCTTCAGAGCTCCTTTAATATTAATATAGATTACCAAAAGCATATATCATCAAGATTTTATGAACCAGAAAGAAATGACACAAGACAGGTTCTGGCCTACTTTGATGTGGAACCTTCAGTGTTGGTCACAGTCTCTACTCAGAACTGTATACCTGCTCAGGGTTGCCTGGATACTGTTGTTCTGCATATGACTTGAACTGGTGGTAAGTCTGCTGGTTCAGAGCCTCCTGAATCTGCCTCCTGTAACATGTGTTTGAAAGTACCTGCTCAGAATATTTGAGCAATGAGGCAATAAACATGCATCTCACACTCAAGGTCTCCCTCCACAGGGTGTTCCAGAGGCTTCTGCTTATCTTATCTACACCACAAAGATAAGCTTCAGCTGCTTCCTTCTATAATATAAAGACTTGGACCCAACTGATTTGTGTGTTACAAGTATTTAACACTGTATCAGATACTATACTATGAGAATGGTTATGGCTTAATGTGATTACAAAAAGTTCTGACAGCTTGGCTGATACATGGGTTACTTAACAACGATGCACGAACAGCTCTGGTCATACAGAATTTTGGCTGGTTGCTTGGCTGTTTCAAGGGCTATTTAATAATAATGAATCTATTGTGGTGATCACATATTTTCAACATACTCGTATGAAGATAGTTCTGACTTATCACCATGGAAACTGTTCTCACTGTACATTACTTAACACTGTATCAACTGCTATGGTCACATACTGTCAAATAATATAAGAATGGTTATGAATTGTTACCAGGGATACAAAAGATTATGGGTTTTGGGCTGATCTGTTACTTATTTAACAACACCATATCAACTGATGAGGTTCCAAAGCATCACATGAGATGTGAGGAATAAGATAATCTGTGAATAGTGCATTTGAAATAAATGGGAAAGACAAGGTTGTGGTTTATTTGAAGGTGTTATTATCAAAAGGGTTGCAAAATGAAAGTGCCATGTATTCAAATCTCAGGCTCCATCCAATTATGTACTGTTGGTGAACTGCTAAACTGTTCAAATATGGGAATCAGATTATCTTATGCTACTTAATTCTGCTAGGAGACTAGCATTATGTTCTGTGCTTATGAATAACAGTACAACACACAGTGAATTCATCCACTCATATGGTGAAAGAGTTTTAACTATACATGGCTAATGCTTCTTGCAGAGAACTTTAATATATGAGGAGGGTTGCATTCAACTCATTCACAGATCATGGAAATGCTAATGAGAGTGCTCCTGGAACTCGTCAGTCCCAAAGCTGTTAAGAATGCTGTTGTGAAGCATACCTGCTCAACACCAGGTAATCTGAACATCAGCCTTCTGTAATCAGTCATGTCATCATTATCACCACCACATACATTTTCATATTTGTGAAACGTTGCTTCATAAATCTGTTCCAGCTATCCTCTGCTTTGCCATACTTCTCCTTCTGTATATGCCTCCTTGCTGATGCATTCTGTACATTTTTAAGAGTTGCTGAGTTGTAGTGTCTTAGATGGTTTAAACTGATTTGTCCAATTGTACTTGTGTTAACAATTTATGGATGTAAATAAATTATGAATTATGCTGTTCTCTCTATAGTCCCTTTCACTATTAACTTCATTCCTGGTTGTCTAAAGTCACCCTGACCCCACTCAACTCCTTATGTTTGTTATATTTCCTGTATGATCTTACCCTAAATCTTACCTCTTGCCTCATCGCTCATTCTGTCTCTCTTAGTTATTCTTCAGCAGCCTAGTTATTGGGGCACCTCTCAGTTTCAACTCTGTATGTTACCAGCATGGTGAAAAAATATAAAATGATTTTCTCTTTCTGTTACTATATACGTGGTGTGTTCAAAAAGTATTGAACCTTCTTTTTTCCTGTAAAAACCAATGAAGTGCAGGAGGCTCCCTTCGGTGGAGATGTGGAGGGGACATTCATGGGCAGTTGTGAATTCCCCCCCCGCAGAAAGTGTCAGTCGCTGGCAGTCAGCATATGAGTGAGGACGTGTAGTGACCACTCGTCAGATTCCAGTAAGGTGTAAAATGACGGAACAACATGAGCAGCGATATTGCATCAAATATTGCCAAAAGCTTGGCGATACCCAAGTGGAAACCATTCGCAAGATTCAACAGGCTTTCGGGGACGATGCTACGAGCAACTCACGGATAAAGGAGTGGTACAACCGCTTCAAAGATGGCCGCACATCAGTGGACAGCAAACCGCATTCAGGCAGACCCTCAACAAGCCGAAATGAGAATGTCATTGAGCAAGTGCGGACTTTGGTCATGGAGGACCGTCGTATCACAGTCCGAGAACTTGCAAACGAGATAGGGGTAAGCATTGGATCGGTACGTTCAATTTTGACCAAGGATTTGGGCATGGGAAGAGTGTCCGTGAAATTCGTACCAAAACTGCTAACGATGGAGCAGAAGCAACGCCATCTGGAAATTGCACAGGACATGCTGGACAATGCAAACAGTAACCCCAACTTTCTGAACACCGTGATCACAGGCGATGAGTCGTGGGTTTATGGGTACGACCCGGTAACCAAGATGCAGTCGTCACAGTGGAAACATCTGACATCCCTGAGGCCAAAAAAAGCACGGCAGGTCCGCAGCAACGTCAAGGTCATGTTGGCCATTTACTTCAACTCCCGTGGGGTTGTGCATCATGTGTACGCACCACAAGGCCAAACCATCACAAAGAAATACTACCAGGAGGTCCTTCGTTGCCTTCGTGATACTGTGCGGCGCAAATGACTGGATCTGTGGGCAGCAAAAACTTGGTAGCTCCATCATGATAATGCACCTGCCCATTCTGCACATCTGATTCAGACTTTCATCGCCAAACACAACATCCCTGTGGTTCATCAGGCTCCCTACTCCCCTGACATGTCTCCGTGTGACTTTTGGCTATTTCCCAAGCTGAAAATGCCGCTGAAAGGAACCTGATTTGAGTCAAAAGAAGACATCATGCAGAATGCGATGGCCCGGCTGATCACCATTCCAAAAGATGCGTTCCAGAAGTGTTTCCTACAATGGCGGAAGCGCTGGGAGAAGTGTGTGCATTACCAAGGACACTACTTTGAAGGGGATTAGGGTTTTGTATCTCCAAATCAATAAATGTATTTCTGCCGACCAAAGGTTCGATACTTTTTGAACACACCACATATCTAAGCAGTATTTATACTGCTGCTTGATAAACCTCTTAAACATATTCCTAAAGCTTCTGGCCAGACCAACTTGTATTTTCCAAAGACCTGCTTCCCAAATATCTAAAGTCATATCATCTTAAGCACTTTATACATTCACTGCAACAGTTGGGCCCAGGGATAGGAAGGCTGACAACTGCCTATAGTGTAACACAATGAGGGACATTTTTTAATATCATTTATGCACATAATTTTAACACCAGAAAATTCTTTTCTCTGTGGTATTTGCAAGTATTTCATAATATTGTGACATGTCTAACCATTGCTGGGTAAGGGGAGGTGGAACGAGTTACCACGAAGACAGACTCTGGATAAACAGTCAGTTGCTGGGTTGTGCAACAGTGGAAGCGAAGTTACGCAACAGTAAGGAAAGTGGTGTTTCACGGTGCCGTGCCGAGTAGGGCCAAAGTGAGCCAAGCTGAACTGCGCTGGTTGTTACGCAGCAATAAACAACTCTTGGCAGCGTTGCCCAGCAACGCCTGTAAACACAGCGTTTACGCAACAGTGAAGCGAGGTGGATTTTCTGCTGTCCGACTGTTTATAAGAGAGACTGGAATGCGTAAGCAGGTAGTTGAAATGTAGCAAATGCCAAAGCCAGTTAGTATTCGGAGCATTCGGTGCAGTGGAAGTCTAGCAGCCAAGTTCAGTTGTAGCGAGTGAAATGTGAACATGAAGACGTCATAAGTCAGTTGAAATATAGCAGCAGTCACAGGAAGAAGAACTGAACGCGTGGTTAGATGATTTTGTGATTACAGTCAACTCTCGATTATCCGGGGGCGGATTAACCGGTTTGNCCATCAAGACTTTGTGTATGCTATAGTACAGTTATATTGGGAGTGTGTAATTCAGAGACACTTGTATAGCTCCCACGTTATAATTACATTAGGACTACTGAAGAAGAGTGAATAGATTATTTTGTAGGGTTTGTAAAGTGTGCAAACCCGCAAGAGTGTTATAAGTATTTGTAGTTACGACTTGTAGGTTGTTAAATAAACCAATTAACAATCTGAAATGCATCTTCAGTGGCAAAACACATTACAATACGCTGCATGTGAAAGCTGAAAGCTTCCAGTGGACAGTAACATATCTTTGTGGGTAGAGAACAATGAAGAAAATACTTTTTTATGTAGCAGTCAGTCCAAAGTATTGCCATTATGAAAGGAGAAAGTTATAATTTTCAATGAAGCAAATGTTGACCATATTTGCCTTTAAACTACAAGCACCATTCACTGATGGATGGCAGAAAATTTGGAAGGTAAGCAACATCTTATATGTTTAGTTAACTGTTGAGTTCGAGCCACTGAGAGTCCACATCGACTACTGGTAGTGAAACAGGGATGGCAGTAAACAATACTTTTCTGGCTGTCAAATGACAAACAGTATATCTGTCTACAAACTTCTATGGGAGCTGGTGGGGGGGGGGGNGGGAAGTGATAAATTGGAGTAGACTGTATTCATGCAAAACTGCTGCACTCTGAATTATTTGTAGGGTATGAAAAGAGCAGAAGAAAGAAACAATTTCACTTTCTTCTCTTATATATAACTAGATATTCATGCTGGTTTATAACCTCAAAACCACCAAATGGTGTCAAATTAAAAAAAAAAAAAAAAAGGTGAAAGAGGAAGAGCCATTCTGAGTATCTCAGCAATGGCAGAAATGGTTAACCACACAGGTGAAAATCTTTGCTATGAAAACAGAGCCTGTCTGTAATATATAGGCTTTAATAATTAACACAACTTTGACAGTACTACTACTAACATATACAGCTCCGAAATTCAAGATATCTTTCTCTCAGTACTCAGTAATGGAAAATAGTGATTTAACCTTCATCACAAAAGATTCAATTGCCACCTTACAGCCCACATTAAATGGTGCACTTATTTAAAACTGTGTCCCCTTTACTAAAGAGTAAATTTCCCTAAAGGGTACCACAAATATATGAAATAAAAAGTTTCTCAAAGTAAATTTTGGGGAGCATGAAATCAAGTACTAATCACTCTTTCAGTCTATTTTGGATCCATCAGACACTGGAGAAAATATGGGCATGAGACTGTACATCAGCTATACATGGACTTCAAGAAAGCCTATGATTCAGTCAGGAGGGAAGTACTGTACACCTACAAAACTAGTTAAGCTAATTAAAATATGATTAGATAAAACCTATAGTAATGTCTGTAAAGGTAAACATTTGTCTGATACATTTTATATTAAGTTTGTCCGGAACATGGGATCCTTTACTGCCATTGCTCTTCATATCTGCTTTAGAATACACCATTAGGAAGGTCTAACCAGGTATGACTGAAATTGAATGTGACATATCAGCTTCTGGTGTATGCTAATTGTGTTAATTTATTGGGAGACTACATCAATATCATAAAGAAAAACATGAAAGTTCTAATAGGTTCATCTGGAAGTAACAAGAGAGAAAACTAAACAAGTACAGGGTCTGGCAAATCGACCTCCCGTATTTGGAGAGGGCGCTGTGTGAGTTCTGGTGGGGATACGGCGGGGGAGGGGGTATCGATAGCGGTATAAGTGCCATTTGCAGTAGTCGCAATGGCGTGGCACAGTGAGCATCGTGCGTTTGTTGTAGAAGAGTATATTCGTAATGGTGAATCGGTGATTACTACTCAGCGAGCATTTCGCATTCGGTTCGAACTTGGCCGACATGATCCTGTTCCGGATAGAAAAACTATTCACGTTTGGGTATCAAACTTTAGAGCAACAGGTTCTGCACTGAAAAAGAAATCGCCTGGCCGACCTCGGACCGTAACAACGCCGGAAAATGTGGCGCGTGTGAGAGCGTCCATCCAGCAGTCTCCAAAGCATTCAGCACTTAAACATGCAGCTGCCCTGGGATTGTCTGATAGGAGTGTAAGAAGAATCCTGCACAGAAATCTACACATGCACCCATACAAAATGATGGTTACCCAAGAATTAAGTGAGAGAGATTGAAACACGCAAAGCTGCGTGTGAGGACATTCTTCAGAACATTCCCTCTGGCNCCTAAGTTAAACCAGTTTGTTGGGGACCATGGAGAGGGACAAGCCTGGTTCCAACAAGACGGAGCCACAGCTCACACTTCGCGGTGTTCTTTAGCAATTCTGAGAGAGTTGTTTCCTGGACGTCTTCTCTCTTTGTGAGGAGATATCGCCTGGCCCTCAAGGTCACACGATTTATCACCTTGTGATTTTTTTCTTTGGGGACACTTAAAGGCGCAAGTGTACAAACATCGCCCCACAACCCTGCAAGCACTTAAGGAGGCAATCACCCAGGCAGTGGCTGCCATTCCACTGGAAATGACACGAAGAACTATGGACAACTTCCGGGAAAGGCTTCTTCAGTGTGTGAACAATGGAGGACGCCATTTACCGGAAATAATTTTTAAAACCAAGTAATGTAAAATAGCATCGTATTTGTTGTTCAAAAATAAAAGTATTTTTTCTGTATCTTTCTTTGTTTGTTTGTAACTGCCTTTTGAAATATGGGAGGCCGATTTGCCGGACCCTGTATATGTTGATGTCTTGTCACCTGAACACAGGCAAAATCGTAACATAAAGACAGCTACTGTATCTTTTCAAAATGTGAAGTTCAAATATTTGGAAATCATATGAAAAGGCCTGGTGCCAAAAATTATAATGTCTAAGAGTTTGTAGAAAACATAAAATAGGGGAAAATAAGGAAAATTACTGAAGCACATGGCATAACAGACTGATACATATTTTCATAAACAGTGATTTAATAAGGACTGTGATATGAAGTTTTGCATTAATGTTCAAGCGAAATTTGTGACTTTAATTTTGAAAACTATAAGGATTTGTAATTAAAACTATGTTTCTCCCAATTTCAGAGCTACTGTATAGAGTTTATTTGCAGCCCAGTAAAATGCTTGTCACTAGTATCACCTCCTAGCCTCAGCACGTGAAAAATGCATAATTCAAATTTAATTAATTTCAAATCTGTATTTTTTGGATCCAAGCACCTTGAATTGATGTGACTTTACTGTCTTAGGCTCTTGGAAATACCTAATTAACCACTGAAGATAAGAGTGTAAAATTTGGTATGGAAATAATTACAAACATAACTACACATATTGCATGAAATTATCTTTTTGTATTTTAATTACAAACAAGACAACAGGCAAACATTTTGAGGATACAACTGATAACTATCATGTAGTGAGAATCGATAAGAATGAAAATTATGAACAGAAATAGAGTGATAAATTGTACAATTACTAATTTATATCTCATGCTGGCCTCTTCATATAAAAAAACAAAACTGTGTTACACATTTCTTCCATAACTTCTCATTACAATTAAGGTAAAGTTGTCCCTGTGCTTAACTAATTAAGCACTACACCATGAAGGCAAAGGGGGGAAGTGTATGTATAGATCCACATTTGCTTGATCTCGGTACTAGTTGGAGGTGAGTGGTCTGCTTCACGCCCTGGCTGCTTTACCCCCGGGGAAAGAGTAGCCAGTACCCATTGGATAGGTTGGGTGGACCCCAGAGTTGGTCTGGACAGCATGAAGAAAAGAAAATTCATGACCCTACCAGGACTCAAACTCTGACCCCTCAGTGTCCAGCCCATAGCCAGTCACTATACAGACTGCACTATCCTAGCTCCTTCTCATTACAATTAAATCAATTATAATTATATGGAACAGATGCAAGTTACCATATATTTAGTTATTTTTATAAAATACTTGGTTTAGTATAACATGAAAGTCAGAAACATCTTATGATAAAATTCACATAATTACAAACACAACTGAAGCTCAAGAGCAAATAAATGCAATGGCAAAACTCACCTCTGAGCCTCCTGCTTGGCTCGGTCTTCCTCCTCACGCTGGCGTTCTTCTTCTTCCAGTCTCAATCGTGCTGCCTCCTCTTGGCGTGCTGCCTCTTCTTCACGGCTACAACAATGACCCAAAGGCAAAAACACAATTCAGGAATGGCTTTACAAACAACATGGCCAGTTACTTCTGTCTCTAGCTCTCACAGTGTATCTTAATATGGTTAGAATATTTATGAACAGACATATGTAGCTGTACCAGCAAAGTCAAGACAAAAGTTTTGCTCATATTTGTATATATAACAATATTTCTCCAAAAAACGTAAATTCAGCAACAGGCTAAATTAGTCAAGCAGATTTGATGTTAGGTTCCTTTTGGAAACAATTCTATGGGGCAAGTCATTCTTCAGCAGCGGATATTCAGTTATTTAAGAACTTCTCTGCATTTACCTATTCCAGCAGTTAACTTACGAAAGCCCAGCAATAAATCCTATACTGAGCCACACAAACTGTAGAACAAGTTTGGCAGAAGATAACATCTTGTCTTCATGCTAAAAAGGTTCAAATGCACAGCAAAGTTGTTCAGTTCTCCTAGAATACTACATAAAATAACTCTAATATTAACTTGAATAATCCCACAGTAAAAATCAGTAGAGATTTCATACACAGTACATAGCATATACAGCGAAAGCCCCATTTAAAATTTGTTCTGGGACAAGAATTCTGAGCATTATCATCAAGATATATCTTAAACAGGGGTCATACAGAATTCAAACAGAAAATGACCACTGCTAATTACACATATCTGCTTTACCCTTAGAAAATGCCATGTACTTCTGAAAACAACAATTTTTTGTGGTGTGCCTAACTGCTACAAGCAGAGGGAACCTTTTCTTCTTCTGCCAGGGCTGATGTGATAGCACACGCAAACCAATCAGCCACCTGGGTCGGCACCCTTCACAAATTATTTTTTTGCTTTTTGCCAGATTAAAATCCACTGATCTTTTGTTCACTTTGTGACTAATAATAGGCAAAAATCTAAACATGTTATGCAACAACACAAATAGGATTTTAAAAATTATGACTCTTTCATCACAGTGTCTGAAAATTTTGACAGCGTCTTGTGAAAGTCGAACTATTCTGAATTGGGGAGGGGGGTGAATTTTTTTTTATTTGGGGTGGTATTTAGCATTGTGCCAGCCCTGGCTAAAGGTCAACAAGAGGATACACAAACTTCAAGGCCCCTGTGAGCAAGCAACTACAGTGTCCAAAATCTGTATTTACCCAAACGGATGGCAAATCTGAAGCTAAGATAAGCCCCACTAAGAAACTTGTCTGCACATAAAACTTGATTTTATATATTAATTTCATAGTTACTATAAGCAAACATGAGAAAGATAATAAATATCTGAGTTCATCATTTTCACAGTATAATCTCTTCATGGGGAATGAAAGCTTCCGATTCCAAGCTTCGAAGATTCTTCATGAAAACTCGCCACAGGCCAAGGCCCATAATCTGAAATATAGTTCGGTCTTCTGCTCTCACTCGTTATGCATATGGCATGACATGATGTGAATTTTAACATTTACCGCATGTTCAAAACATCAGTCCACTAAGATTTAAACCATTAAAAACATCACTATATTTTTTTCACATATTAAGTCAAGATGTTGCTTCATTTCTTAACTTCAGAAATAGAAGGAAAAAACCTAGCCTTCCACTCAGTTAAATATAATATTATACCAGGTACACATTTCATTCATGGACATACGAAATACTAATTCAGGAAAAAATATTCAATGCTTATATGGGGGCTTTGGCCAGGACCACAAGAAATGAATGCAAAATGCACAAAATTTTCAAATCAAGAAATATTATATTGAGATTCTACTGTAACTGTAGATTTCTCCTATTCTCAAAGTACATAGCAATTAGTTTGATTTTTTAATCATAAAGAGAGCTTGGACATCACATAAAACCAGGACAGAGTGATGTGCTCAATGTTTTATCAGTCATAAGAGTGACAAACACAACATCTTAATGTAATCTGTCAACTTTTCTAGCATTGCGAAACATCCATTTCTGCGAGGAGTACCCACAAGGCAAATCCAATACTGTAAATGGTAAAGTGAAGAAACATCCTTCGGATATCAAGAACAGCTGCAAATGTTTTCAGTGAGTAGCTGTAAACAGCCAACGAGGCAGTATTTTAGCTGGAGGGGGGGATTGGATATGGGTACTTTAATCCCTAACAGTAAAATCCAGCATGTTACAAAAGTCCTAACATGCCTTGGACTTAGAATCCCTTGGCATAACTCAAGCAATGAGAAGAGGGCAAGACATGTGAATCTTAGATTGTCAGGAGTCAACAGGAAAGGTTCATTTAATTTTATTTTGAAAAATCCAGGAAGATGATTATACAGGAGACCTATGCATTGATGAGAGATCAAAATGGATCTCAAAGAAGTGGGGTATAAAAGTGATGAACAGATTGAACTGGCTCATGATGGTGTACAAGTGCAAGTCTTTGTGAACGCAGCAATGAACATCTGGGTTGTTTAAAACAATTTCTTTACTGCCTAAGTAACTGTAAACTTTTCAAGGGAGGCCTTGAACCAATAAGTTAGTTAAAGAAAGAAGGTAAGCAGAAAAAATCCCCAGTTTAAAAGCTAGTGCAACATGACTTTTCTGTCTTTCCTGAACCCAAGCTCTGATGAAGAGGTGCAGAACTGATGATATCACAGCATACAGTGATGCTGCCCAACTGCAGATGCCGGGGTGTGATGCATATCTTGCTCACTTTCAGGCATTGCAAAACCTCCTGTATCATATAGGACTCACAGTTACAGCCCTGATCACTATGTACCTCCCATAGTACTCCAAAGCAGCAGAAGAAGCTGGGAACAAGCACTTACACCACCATTGAAGGCTATTTGATTGGGAATGGTGTATGCTTCTGGTCACTTGATAAAACAGTCCATTTTGACCAGGAGGTATTGGTTTCCTTGGTCGCTCAGTGGGAAGGGCCAGCTACACTGATGGCTATCCTTTCGAACAGGGACCAAAATTTTGTACTGATGCATGTGGCCCCGATTCCTGGTCCAGGGGCTATGACTGGATGCACAGGTGTTGCACTGCCAGCACTACATCTTAACATTGTTTCTTGCCTGGAGTCAGTAGTACCTTTGCCAGACCTTATTCAGGGTCTTGTTGACACCCAAGTGACATCCTGACGATCCACCATGCAGTTCGGTCAGCACGTTGTTCACTCTGCTCTAAGGAAGAATTATCTGGGCTATTTTTGATCATAAATTTGTGGGTTCCCACTGGCACTCTGGTATGCCATTCCTCACAGCAAGGGATTTCCATTGGGTGTTGTCCAGTTTCTATTTCCTATAAAATGGGCCCTATATCCTGGTCGTTCTGCTGTTCTCTTCTGAGAGAGGCTGAATCCCAGTCAGCTATGGCTACAGCTAAAGCTGCGTATTTTGTGTTTATTGGGGTCAGCCACTCCCATACATCTCTCAGCTTCTCAGGGTCAGTGGTTATCCCCTTAGATGACACATACTTCCTTCTGAAATAGTTGGCCCTTCTCCAGACTGAGCTTTAGGCAGGCTTCTCGGAACAGCTGGAACACTTTCCTCAGGTTGAGCAGGTGCTCTTGGAACATGAGACCAATCACAATCATGTCCATGTACACGAGACATAACTTGTAAGTGATGCCTCTTAAGACGGTCTCCATTAACCTCTCAAATGTTACTGGAGCACTGCAGAGAACAAAGGGCATGACTGTGAACTGCCACAATCCTTGACCCATAAAGAAGGCAGTCTTCTCCTTGTTGTCCATATGCAGATCCACCTGCCAATAACCACTCTTCAGGCCCAGCATAGAGAACCATTTGGCCCCAGCCAGTGTATCCGGAGTGTCCTCATCCTAGGGTACTAGGAAACAGTCTTCCCTTGTGACATCGTTCAGTTTTCTGTAGTCTATGCAGAACAGCAGGTCCCCATTCTTCTTCTGGAGAAGAACAGGTGATGACCAGAGGCTGCCTCTTCAATAACCCCATGTCACCGCATATCCCCAAGCAACTCGCCCACATCTGCCTGTTTTCTGTTTTACTAGGGGAAGCCTCCTCAGGGGTTGGTGGATTGGTAGGGCCTCTCTCGTACCTATACGGTGGGACACTCTGTCAGCCCATCTATAGTCATCATTCTTCATAGCAAAGATGTCTTCATACTCTGTGGGGAGCTCTTCCAAGTGTCACTCAGGTTTGGCCTGGCTGCTGCAATCCAGTCCTGCAACTTTGGGGTAGTTTCTTGGACCTGTGGTTGTTCAACATTGGGTGGAGCCACCACTGTGCCATGGCAGATCCTTCTATGAGCTTCTGGTCACAACAAGCAGCATTCAGGACCCTCATGGGTACCTCCAGGCAGTCTTGGACCAGGGTGCTGACTATGTAGAATCCTTTGGGTGGATGGATCTCTGGACTCGGTTCTACCAGGCTATTTTCCACTCCACTGAGGCTCGCCAACTGAACCATCACCACTCCCTTGCATTGTGCAGGTATCACCTGATCAATGGCCACAACCAAGCTGGTAGGCTGAGGCCCCACCCCAGGGCTCCATAGCGATACTTCATCTGCAAGATGCAGCATTTGGCGCCCTAGGTTTACATATGCATTTTATGCACACAGGATGTCCAGCCCCAAGATGAGCTCATTTGTGATATTCTCAATGAATACCCAAATTTTCAGTGGGCGCCACAACAGGATGTCAGCAAAACTTCCTTCAAGCTGGGTAGGGTTTCCCCAAATACCAACTGCAGCATGTAGCATTGGTTTGGCTGTATTTTAAGCCATCTGGCCTCTACAACAGGGTGCTACCATACAATATTTGTGGGAAATAAGATTTCAGGTTATGATATTTATGTTTTCACTCATAAAATATTCATCATAAATAGATGTGTACGAGAGTAACATTGAATCTATGCCTGTAGATATGTTCCCTTCATTAAGTGTGCATCCTGCACTAAAGAGAGCTCTGGTCTCTTCCTTCCTCTGTAATGCTGACTACAACTCACAGGTACAGAACATTACAAAATACAAAGATAATTCTTGTTTGCTGTGACAACCCGTTACTCACGCAATTCTTTTTCGTTCCTCCACATCCCACTTGTGCGCCTCCACAAAAGGTTTGAATATTGGACACAGCTTGTCAAGCAACTCAACAAACCCTGTCATTGCTTCATCCTGATTTATATCACCCAATGTCTGCCATGCCAACCTATAGACAACACATTCATGTCAATATTTAAAATCTGAATATGAAAGAGCTCAAAATTATATATTTATATACAAAATGGTAAATAAAGGGTAAAAAATATGTACTAAAATCACTGTATAATGTATGAATGTTAATAATGAAGATACAATTCTCCTAGAAGAACAAAATGGCTTCAGACAGAACAGAACAAACTCATACAGGAACACAGAGAATATAACATACCAACTTCTTTGGTCTTTATCTATTATGAAACTTTCACAGACAAACCAAACAAAGCTCTGAAATATTTAAGCAAGGTAAAAAACACACACTCTTCAAGTTAACACAAGACAAAAACAAGTGAAAATTCTAGGGACATCATCCAAGGGGGTCAGACAAGGGTACATCCTGTCTACAATTTTATTTAATTTTATACAGATAAATTCAGTATAGTACAATGACAGAGTAATAAAAAATAAAGCATTTTACTAAGGAAACAGTTCAGAAAATATTTTTGTCTGCTGATGACAAATTGTAGTTGTGGACTCATAATAAGGGGGGCATATAGTAGTGCAGTTGGTTGAGGTACCATGCTACAAGCCAGAAGGTCACAGGCTCAATTTCCAATTAGGTCATTGGATTTTTCAATTGACCTAATCCTTCCAGCTGTACTGTGGCCCTGGGGTTGATTCAGCCTCTAACAGAAATGAATACCAGGAATCTTTCGGG